GGTCGCGGCGTGATCAAAGCTTCCTTGGCACTCCCAGTGATGCATCTTTGCGCCTTCGCACGCTTAAATACCGGTCAAGAATAGACGCCGCGCCAAAGTTCTGAACGTGTGTCGCGCGTAGATGCCTTTAGATCATTTATATATATCGGCCACGGAGTTCTGGATCGTCCAGCTGTTCCGGTGAGTTGCTATCAATAAAAGGGGGAGATCTGTACGTGTTCTTATGTACTATATTAACCATGGCTGTGTTTCAAATCTACTCTAATAGATTCCGTGGGAGCACGAATAGGGCAACGTTGTGGAGCCAGGGGGGTTTTCGAAAGCAAAAGTACAAGACGGCGAGAATGAAAATCTTTGAAGCGCGGCCGATATGGTCGTGTGCAATCTGTTGACCAATTACAATTAGGCGAGCCGCGCTCAAACTTCAAGTGCAATTAAGTAGGTTGATAATAAGCCAGCACTGATCAGTGATGAGGAGCTGTTGTGCACGGTATTGTGTAAATCGTCTAAGGACGAAAAAAAGACGTACCTTCTCCCCATCTTCCGTCGCTAGTGGACGCTGGATTAAGCTCGTTCCTAAACCGCGAGAGGAAAAGAGCTGATCCAGAGGCACGAACAGCTTCACGCACATTGCACTCGCTGAACACATACACACGGCGTCGGTTCTTGGTCGGTATCCAAGCGCGCGAAGGCACAGAGACACGGCACTTCGGCGTGCCAAGGATGCTTTGAACACGCCGCCAGCCCTTCCTTTCGACGCGTTGTGCCCTTTTTCCTGCGACACTGCACTTTCGTAAACTTTTCCACGTGTTCACAACGGCAAGTCTCAACAATACACAGAGTCTTCAAAAAACTTCCTCGGCGAATGACGACGAGCGAGTAGAAAACGTGTCGTCAGCACGCTGGAAAACCGCACCAAAGGCTAGCAAAAACGGCAAATCGTATCCCAAGCGAGTGAAGCCCGGTGGCTTCACTTGCGCTGCAGCGAACAAGCGGGGAAGCGCGATCCAGCAATTGTCATAGAGATCAGTGGGTGGTACTAATTGAAACTGAAGCGCGTCGGCTTCATATCATTGCCGTTTTGAGTGGCTTTCTGCGTGGTTCCAAAGCTGGGGATGCCTCAGATCGCGGCTTCGGAAATTTTTCTGCCGTTTGGCGCGGCTGGTGACGTCGGCTCGCTCCAGGAGACATTTAATGCTTTCGCATTATTTATTCTTCGCGTAAAACCTTCAAGCACATCCAGGGCTGTTTATAACCGGATTTATTTATACCCTTCATGGCCCGAAGGCATTACAGAAGGGGGTGGGCATAGCAACAATATACAAACAAAACAAATAAACCTAACAAGGGAGCTAAACAGGACAAAAAAATATATGATTTGAAACAATACACACACAAACAAATTCACTTAACAAAGGAGTTATAGAGGGTAGAAAAAATAATTGTTAACAGCTGTTCGAAAATCGGAGCTCTCGGCAATCTCGACTACAGCTGCGGGAAGGCGATTCAAGTCCAGTGACGTTTTAAGCAAAAAAAAAAAAATGAAATATTGATGTGTGACAGTGAACAATGGTCGACGCGCGATGAGATATAAGATGGTTGTATTAACAAAAGCTGGCGCATTGACGTGTTCAGATAATAGATCTTGTAAAATAAGCACAAGTGTGACATTTTCCTGCGAAGAGTTTACGTTGAAAAACCACCCATAGCCTCATAGACCCACGGCAAAATTTTGGAAATTTTATGGCACCCATAAACACGTACCCCGATCTAGCAGTTGAACATACTTGAAGCTCTCTGGTGTATTTCGGGTTTTTATCGGAGCGACACTGATCTCTGCTGCTAATAGTATTGAAAAATAGTTTGCCGTGTTTTTTACAGCAATCGCAATACAAATCTCGGCTCAGTTTTGCGTAAAATCCTCAGGATTTGATACGGTCACGTGTATTTGGTGGTCAAAATTGTACCGCATGGGCGGCAGTAAGGGTGGGGGCGAAGGGTCAGTTTTGCCCTGCATATGGGATACCAGTTCCTTGTTGATAATAACGGGTAAGTAACGCCCATTTGTTTTCTAAAGTAACGGTGACGGTGTTGTCTTACTTTTGCAGGACGATAACGAAACGGAGTAATGTTTTAATTTCTGACAAACTAACAAGCAACACCATTTCGGTACTTTTTTTCGGTAATGGGCAAAACACTGCTTCATAGGGTTGATGACTCCACAAGTTGCATAAAAGAAGCTTCCCCGTCTCGCCCATTGTAAAAGATGAAAAATAAACAATGTTAAGTTTTCATGGAGCCGCAGAATCTTTTTGCCTTGCCCGATGGGGCACAAGTTCTAAAAGATATACTTTTGGACCAGCAATCCACCTTTTGCCAAATATGTGCTGCCATCTAGACACGCGACTTGGTTCGAGACCAAGTTTGACTAGAAAACAATGCAAGCGGAAGGCCCCTCCGATCCGTTTGACACCCAAAATGTCCCGCTTGCCCATTGAAACGCTGTGACCTAGAAACGGCCCTCCCATACTTTGCCTCCGTGTCCATCATGGGTTATCGTCGACCCGGAGTTGATACAAGAAATCATGAAAAAGGTCATGTTCTGTGCTCCGTCCTATTTGTTCATTCTTTCCTGTGTAAATTGAAACTCATCAGCACGCTCGGTTTTTAATAGTTCTGCCTGTATTTTTGAGTATGTCTTGTCTAAACCCCAATTGTGCGCGGTTCCCAAGTCTTCAATCCGGTTGCTTTCCTGGAAGCGGCCCTCTTCAAATCAAAGATGAGTTGTGTGCTCCGTCCTATTTGTTTATTCTTTCGTGTGTTGACTCAATTTCCCCCTCTCCTCGGTCAAAAGGAAGAGAGGGAGATGGTACCAAACCATTTACTCTTGAACAGACTTTATCCAAAGGTCCATTCTGAAACTGATGGATTCTCACATTGGCCGGCTTCGGTATGACCAGGTTTTGTTCCGGTAAAGACAGGACAGCACGGCTGCCTAAAGCAATGGCCAAATTACCCCTTTTTTTAAGGCGAACGAAGTAATGTGACTTAATTTTGACTTTACGGCACAACATTCGAGTTAGCAACAACGGAACAATGAAATTGTTCTGCTGTTTATACAGGTAAACTGCATTCTTATTTTTAGTGTGAAGTCAATCTCATTAATACACACGAAGAGTCATACACATATGCAAGGCTTTATTGTACATGTCTCCAAAGGCAGCACAGACAACAATCAACTCCAATATGTCGCCAGCAATAGACACTGACTACTACTGCAAGAAAAAAAAAACGTATCTGTCAAAGTGTATACAACGGATGCCTAATAACTGGCATCCACACAGCACGGTACAAAAGGTTAGTGAAACTAGCTGCCTGACTTAGAAATCCGACACACCAGCACTTGCTGGTTGTATAAAGTAGCAAAAAAATCGGCTGCGCTTCATGTTTGGACTAGACACTGGGCATTTACAAAAATTTCGATGAGTGATAGTTGTTAGTCGTGATCCCCATCGCGTTATAAAAAAAGAAGCAGAATTATATCAAGAGAAGCCACAAAGGCAAAACATTTTAAGGCAGAAATTTGAATTACAAAAACGTGCTGCCCGACTGCGGTAGCGATGGTTGTAAGTTCGAAGTATAAACTGGCTGTTGCAAACGCAGAACGCACTTGGGAGTTTGTAGTTTTCAGGTCGTAAGAGGCGGTCTGCAGAGTTGCATATCAATGTAAGTTACGGCAGTCATTGAATGACACTTGGGTGTGGACTTCCAGAAACTGTTTATGTTCATTTGTGTACTATGTATATACCAAAAAACACAATTTATAATGCTGTTGTCCAGACTGCTATAATGGAAACTGTTTTCACAACTTGTGCAAGTGCTAACATTGTACGAAATCATACTGCAGTAAAAAAAATGTTATCTTCATAAGACATAAAAGGAAAGTTTGATTTGTTTTGATCATAAACTGTACTTCTTGAAGGCCTGTAAGTATCTCAAGGTGTGACTTCGTTGAAGGGCAACACTGTTTTTATTTTTGTTATTGTTGAATGAATTCACAAGTTCTCAATTGGCTTTCCTGTTTCATTTGTCCTAATCAAGTAGTATTTCGTTTTCTGTCAGACATTCATTTTGTCTGGGCCTGCTGGATGGTCTGGCCGTGAGGGGGCTGTCATTTTGTTAGGCATGTCAGTGCCTTTTGTGACGGCACCCCAGACAACTGTCCTACCTCGACGGTTGTCTCAATAAACTTTGATTGAACCGTCCATTGGTACTTCATACTTCTCAATGTAAAATTGCCAATCATCTCTAAATGTTGAGAATTAAACAGAATTGCCCTTTGAATTCTTCACAAATTAATATTGCACAAATTCACCAAAGGAATGCCTATTTTGCCACACCCTCTCAGATAACCATGTGTCAATTTAATTTGCTCGGTGCAGTGAGTTGGAAACGGACTACAAGATTGAGGCACAATATAATTGTAAGGCAAGTAATTTTCAGAATTTTTAGATAAACAAAACACAGAAATAACCTTTTCTCGTACATTTTACCTGCATAATCTGTTTAAAATAGTAAATTGAATAGGGTTTATTCAAAATGTGAATTCATCGAGTAAGGTAAATTTGATCAGTAAATGCAGTTTCAGGTGAGATAAGAAGCATGAGTGTCCCTTCTTGTTGTCACTAACATTTTTTTTGCAAGACTGAAATAGAAGGTTACTGACAATGTTAGTAAACAAGGCATGTTTTGCATTTAAATTTTTTTAACTTTTGCAAAAAGGGGACTCATTAATATTTAAACATTATTTATTTAAACAATATTATTAGTACCTCATACTACGAGAGGATGACGCTACAATTCTAGTAGAATACAGAAAAAAATTAAATGCACACTAGAGAAAAACTAAATAAGAAATTAATGCAAGTTGTCCAGACCAGTCAGTAAAACTCCTTAAGAACAAATACAGCAAAATAATACACACACACAGAACATATATATGGCTTTCACATACAGGAAGTGTTTTATTTACAAAAAAAGAAAGCAATTGTAAAGGTCTAAGAGCTTATAATCTAAATATGCAGATGAATAAACTGTGTATATGAAATGACTACATTAAAATCTGCTGAACCATATTATTAGTGGCCTTTCTTTGAATATTTCATTGATAGAATTTATTCATTTACATATCTAGATTATTTACAAAAAGTAAGACAACGTCCCACTTATCCCCACATAAAGAAGTGGGTACTCGGCAAACCTGCCTAAAGATGAGCTTCTCATAGCAGCGTACTTCACTTTGCTGTTCATTCACAAAATAAACAAAAAAATAATGTTAAAACTATCTACAAGAAACATGAGACTATGTTATCTCGAAACAACTTTTCCTTCAGTTTTGCAACTTGCCAACACATTTCAAAACACCACACGGGGACAGATTACTGAGATTCCTTCTTTCATGTTTCGTAATGGGAGCACCACAACGGACACTCAATATACTCACACCAACAGCTCGTAGCAAAGTGACGAATTGAAGCAACCACGGCTAAAGCTCATCTACATAGCAAAACAAGATGCCAAGCTACCGAGTGCCCAAACTTGCCGCTACAGACTAGACCGTATGACTTAAGCTTTCACGAATCAATCCTGTCTCAGCTAGTGTCATCGCTGAACCCGCATTTCATGTTCGATGCACTCTCATTTTATTCGGCAGTCAAAGGGCCATAGCAGTGACAACACAGGCACTGTTTATCTACACGAATGAGCTGAAATAAAAACTCTTCTCTCTAGACATCGAAGAGTACCAGACTCCTTTAAAAATTCCTGAAACAAAGTTTCGGCATCGATTGTAGTCAGACGCCAAAAGTCGTGAGGCGCACGACGATAAAATGAGCCAGCCGTTCCCAGAAGACCACCACAGCCTGCCAGCCGGTATATCTACAAAGACTTGGTGGAGGATTCAGATGTGCGACAGCCTAAAATTCACGACTTTAGCTTTCGCGATATGATACGGTCCCGGCTGCTGTCGTGAATTGCTGTTCCTCCGTTGACGATGTGTCCGTTGTCGACCACCATCGACGGATTCGATGCGGGGCTGGTTCCCCTGCGTCGGTTGCGCCTCACCTTGGAAAACTCGTCGCCGAAAACGTCGCCCGTTCGAAGGGCCGAAATGAGGTCGTCGAACTCTCCTTTGTCGTCGGAACTACCGTTCATGGCTTTCACTCCGTTCAAGGTGCCACCAAGATGCGTGCCATTGGCGCGCAGAGCTGCCAGACCACGTAGAGCTGTGCCATCCTTGCGATCTTTCTTCTGTGAATAAAAGGTAGTGTTGCAGCTTCATTTCTGGTTTCCGAGAGCCTACTGATCATGTAAATGGGGAAGTATGCCTAAGCGGAACTAATGTCTCACTGAATTGTCAGCGTAAATCCTTAGGTAATTACAAAGCGCCCAGCCCCCCCCCCCCCCCCCCCCCCCCCCCAGAAATTTTTTTTTTTTTTGAGAAAGTAAATTGTGCAATGTGTCAAATGCTTCTTCTCCACCCAAATGTGGTGCTAGCGGTTCGAAGCATATGCCCAAGTTTCAGAAATAATGGTTATCTTATGCAAACGTTTTAAGTGATTTTCTGAAATTTTCAATGAGAAAATGGTGGTCATAAGAGCCTTTGAATACATGGATTCACTTACTGAGAACGGGCCCCATTTTCCCAATGAAATTATAATGTTTCAACTTTTGGATGAAACATTGGTTAATTCTGAAACATGTCATCTGGTTCAGACCGCTAGCGCTACATTTCGGCGGAGAATGAGCATTCGGCGCTCTGTAGTTTAGTTTTCTTGTAAAACAAACACCAAGTTTTCATTTTGTAAAAAGGGGGGGGGGGGGGGGGAGGCACATTGTATAATTCAATCATCTTCTATCCTAGAGATTTTCAAGAGGTTTACGGTTTAGTTTGTTGACTTAGAGGAAGTTCCAGTTAACAGGCAAGAAAACCGTTTTGAAGAACTGGTAATTTAAGAAAAAAAAGGTTTTGTAATTTCCACTTATTACAGTTTGATTTCAGGGATCTCACTTCGATAGATATCTAGAGGAGTCAGTTTCTTCGTAAAACCTGTGAAATATTATGAAATTTTCACAATGTTTGCTCTGTGCAGTGTTCTAAGAGCTTAGATGTTTTTCTCACCTCAGTATATTAAGGTTTATTTCCCACTGTGCACTGCTGATCTATTGATAAAAAGTACAAGGCTGGCTTGATTTTTAGATCAAGCAGTAATAACATCTATATAAGAACATCAATAACCAGTAAATTTCCCATAACATTTGAAGCCTGAATTTGATACCACACTTTCAAGGATATTCCTTCAAAATTACACAGTGGTGAGTTGGGCTAGGGCCTTCAAATTAATTTCCAAAAGCAACTGAAATTAATACTGTATGGCATGACAATGACACCAGTAGCACACTTCAAAAGGTGAGGATGGCACGAATCTACAGTACACCTTGAGTGAGGACAAAACCCTAGTTAGCTTTGAAACTCACTAAATTCCTTAAATGGGCGCTCCGGCAGATTCTTGAGTTATCCAACCTAAACACATTTTCAGAATAGCCATGCTTCACTCTTTCAGCCTACTTGTCTCCAAATTCAAAATAGTTATTTAGAAAATGGCCAATGGAGGTGATACCAAAGCCAACATTCAAATTTTCCCGCAATTTCCGGTGGGGCGGCGTCACATGTTGTATTACTTGCAAGTCAAGCGGGCATCATAAAAAAAAAAAAAAACATATTTCGCGCATGTGCTGGCGCGAGCTTATTCAGCATTCATTTTACACCACCAGACTTCCTCTAACCCGTCGGGAACAAACTGTAATGTCCCTACTGTTCCCACATATTACTACATCTGCCGTCACAGTTCTAGTTTCGTCAGTAGAGCGAGTCTCAGCCTTTCAGACCAAACTTAAGACTTCAATACCTTCGCAAAAAAATTATTGTGACTTGTTTTTTTGCGTTACTGGTTCACACGTGTCTATTAATGTGTTGAAACAATCTTGAGGCAAATCAGGGGCTCTAAATTTTGTCTTAAAGAACCAGAGCAGAGTAACATTGGTCTACCTCGGCCTCCTGCTTGGTGCGACGCTCCTCGTCCTCCTTCCGCCTCTTGAAGTTCTCATTGTCGTTGCGGGCTTCGCTGAACGACGTGAGGAAGGAGTCGAAGATGCCAAAGAACTCATCAGGAGGCATCTGCAGTGGATCTTCGCCAAATCTTCGCACAGTCTTTTCGTACTGCATCAAGAAATAAAAGATGTGCTGAGCTTGTTGATCATGTTCGACTGAATCATAGAGACACGGTTGTGAACAAAAAAATAGTGATGCTCAATCACTGACAGACATGATTTGGTATGCAAAGGGTGTTTAAGGAAACAAATGGAAGGGTAGTGTGATGTGAAACGTTTTCGAACCCTCCCATAAATGAGAATAGGAATGACTGCAACTTTCTTCAGAAAGAAATACTGAAGTAGCTGTTATTTCATAGGACCACCTAAGACTATTTAAGAGAGGATATAGCATTTAGTCGTTAATATTGTATATTCTTTTATTGAATATTACCTCATTTTAATGGATAAAGTAGTAATATGGTTACAAGTACTACACCTATGTCCGAGCATTTCAATGCATGATGTACCCCCACAAACAATATGAGCTGAAGCGCCCCATTCAGCCTTTTTCTGCGTCTGAGGTCCCCACATGAACTACTGTCTCTTAAAGGGAGACACTACCTAGGGAAAAAAAATTTTGGAAAAAAGTTCATTTTGAAAAATGCCGTATTTACATCCACCAACATCTTGAGTATTCCCAGAATGTTTCATTAGTTTACACTGCATAGTTAATTTTTTATAAATTTTATTTTGTCCAGCGGTGCTATAGAAAAGGTAGAGGTTAGAGCACTTTGAATGCATTTTTCTCCATTCCACTTTTTTGGCATAAATTTTAATTTAGGAAAACTATTGTTTGTTAATGGGACAAAAGAAAAGACTTACTCATTGTTTTGCCTAACTCAAATTTTATAGGCAATGTAACTGTGGAATTGTTTTTTAAGGGGGGATGCTGGTCTAACTTTTTGTTTTTTATAAAAGATGCTAAGATTTGGTCGACGACATAAAAGGCAAAAACCTTATTTGATTTTTCACTGCGGGCTTAGCATAAAATAAATTACTTTTTGGAAATTTTGTTTTCACAGTTGCTCTCTCCAGGCATTCTGCTGCAGATCTAGTGAATAAAAACATTGGATATTATATTAGTTTTTTAACTATAGTTTTCCTGCAAACAAAGTCAGTGTGTTCCTTATAGAAACAACTATATTTTTCTTTTACAATTCATGTACACAGATGAAACTTTGCACTGCATTTTTACTCACAACCGCCAGTATATACTGTAACTTTCATTCATGTTCAGCCAAAAGTTCAAAAGTCGACTCTCTTGGGTAGTGTCCCTCCTTAAATTGTCAAATAATGGAAAGTAAGGACGCCCAACTTCGCATTCCATTCCTAGTTCGAACCACAGCTCTCTCAAGAACTGGCCGGTATGCCAAAGAAGATGAACGACTGTTTCAGCTCATTAACATGTTATCCGCCATAGTACCTCAACAGTATAACAAGATTCTAAGAGCCAATTTCGGGCGATACGTGACACACGACTCCAAAGGTAATTTTAAGTTCAGTGCGACGCCTCACTGCGAGATATTTTTGGCATTTGTGACTAAATCCTCAACATCTGAAAACTTTAATATGCTGAAGCTGTCCTTGTAGCACAAGTTAAAGATTGATAAAGGCCTCGACTTCACACTTCAGTATGTAATATTTGCTATTCCTAGTGCATCACCCTGACGCAATTGTAGCTTACCCTAGACTTCATGTCCTGGAAGCTGTCTTCCAACTCGGAAAACTTGTATGTAGCTCCTGTGATGAACTCCTTCATGACCAGAACAAACTTGTCCCCATGCTGAGCAGGCTGCCCGCGCAGGAACTCCAGCTCCCGTTGCACTTCGCTGAGGCCCGTCTTCAGGTCCTGAATTTCTCTGCTCAGTTCTCCAAGGCTGCCAGACAGAAAGGGTACTTTTCAAGCAGGGAAATCTGACTGTTTTGTCACATACTTTGCTGTGTCTTTATAGTCAGTGATGGGTGAGGAATGAAGCAGAGGTTCGACCTCGAGCGAGTGCTTTCTGCTTTACACAACGCTTCGTCACACACGCAGCTAAAGTCTAGCAGAAGATAACGAGAATTGCTGAAGGCAGGCAAAGCGTTTACTGGATTCTTAACTTGTCCCCGACTATAGCTCTAGATATAGCTCAAGCTTTAAAAGTGCTTTATCGAAAACATATTTTGAGACGTTTTCAAAAGAATCCTATGTGACTACAAACACACACAAAATCCTGTTTTCTTCACATCCTAGTGTGAGCCCACCAGATGCTTGAGCATTTGGTGTACTGACTTTGCTGTGTAATTTTTGCACACAAGGGGAAAACAGTCTTTTAGATAGGGTGTCACTATGGGCAGGTTATGAGCCTCAAAAGCTGAATTCCCAGATTTTATTTATAGAGACTCAATCCTTAAGAGCGCAGCTCTTAGGCGCCCATTTCCGGCTTGAGTGGCGCCGCCGTCTGTGTAACCGCGCGCGTTGCTTTGTGGGCATTTCCCCACTAAAGTTAGTGGGGAAATTTTCCCCGCTAAATTTAGTGGGGAAATTTTCACTAAATTTAGCGAAAACTTCCCACTAAATGGAAGGGGAGCAGGAGAGAAGGTTATAGAGGGGCAGGAGGGGCAGGAGGGGCATACCCTCCCTTTCACACCCTCCCCTCCTCCTTCTCAACAGCTGCGCTTTAATTCAGCATTACAGTGAATTATAAACGTCTCATTTTTTTAGGCATGTAGACTTCAAATCCATGGGAAACAAAGAAGTGAGTAGACTTAATGTATGTGCAACTGGTAAACTTTCTTGCTTCTCTGCAGTACACCAATTCATGAGGAAAAGGTAACCCTTTCCAAAAATTATGGCTATGTACAGACTGCAACAGAGTGAGCATGATCAAGCAAAGACATATTTTTGTGTTTTTTATTTGCAATTCAAATGTTGAAATAGTGCAGTGGAAATGACTCATCTAGGAGCTCAGGTTAAGTGGTAAACTCTTTGTGCTCATTAATAACATGGCTAAGTGTAGCATGTCCCCCAAAATACTGGGCGATTCAAGGAGCGGCCAGGCTCTTTAAATCGACCGCAAAATTCGGTTTCTTAACCTATCGCGCTACAATTTTGTGCAGCGTTGCCCACAGATGGTGCATTTTGTTCTGTAAAATTTGCAAAGAATGAACTTACCTGAGGAAAAAGTAAAAAAAGAAAAAGGCTTAGCTCCTATGGAAATGCAGCGAAGCCACCGGCCTTCAAACAATACGGTGCCGTTTCGCACAAGAGACAAGAGATGGCGCAAGCGGTCGCAATGCCAGCGCACCAGAGCCGCTCTGCAACGAACGAGCATACGGCGCCAAGAGCCGGCATCTTTAGCAGACGATTGTTTTGACTCGAAAGCGGCGCGCGTTCTGCGGGCAGTGACAGTTGCAGAAACAAAAACAGGTGCGGTAACAACAAGGAACTGCAATGCAGACGACACAAATACCACGAAAAAAACAGTTAGAATAACCCAACAAACCACTTTTTTAATCGATTATGTGTCCATTCAGTGTGTTTTATTAGTAAGGATGATAAAATAATGCATTGGCCACTGATATGAAAAAAGCTTGCACTGCTTTTGAATTGAGATGGTCCACTAAAGATGTCAGCTCTCGGCGCCGTATGCGCGTTCGTTGGCGGCGTTCGTTGCGCCATCTCTTGTCTCCTATGCGAAACGGCGCCGTATTGTTTGAAGACCGGTGGCTTCGCTGCATTTTCATAAGAGCTAAGCCTCTTTCTTTTTTTACTTTTTCCTCGGGTAAGTTCGTTCTTTGCAAATTTTACAAAAAAAAATGCATCATCTGCGGGCAACGCTGCACAAAGTCGTAGCACGATAGGTTAAGAAACCGAATTTTGCGGTCGATTGAAAAAGCCTGGCCGCTCCTTGAATTGCCCAGTAATTAAGCAAAAATAGCACATTAATATCAGCGACCAGAAGTATCAAGGTGTAACCTTTCTCAAATGTGTCTTTTACTGGTGCAATTAACCATACTAAAATTTCCATTCTCTACTCCCAGTAGAACTATAATCATTTAAACACTGTCAGAAGGAAGTCTAACAATAGCCATGTTTGCCTAGCTTATTCAGAGACTGTGCCACTAATGCCGGCAAGCACAGGTAAGTGCATACCAAACCATTGTTATTTAGACTAAGTGATTTATACAGCAGCATTTAGCATCTTTATTTATCACCATCTCTTGCGTGACGCTCGCTTGATACGCCAGGTCTATGATTTTTTACAAGCCACTTTGGTGTGTACATTCTTTGGGGGGACATGTTGTAGAATGTTGAAAATCTACAGTGTCATGTTCTGCCAAGGTGTTGGACAGTGTGCATGTTATGAGCTTAAAGAGCGATTCCTAGAATTATTGTATAATGAGTAAATTGTACTAAAGGTCTAGATTTCAAAAGAGTAACAGATTTTGTAGACCAGATGCATATGCGTCTGGTTTACTCACTGCTGCTTCTCTGCAGGACACTAATGCGCGAGGGAAAACACGCATCCTAAAAAAGAGATGGCTAAGTGATGGGCAGTATTTCAACTATACGTATTTGAAATATGTACTGAAAATACTTCTGAGTAATTTGTTTTTGTTTTGTATTTAATTACATATCAACAAATGTATGTGTCAAGTGTATTCAAATACTGAAAACAGTATATCAACTGCCGTAAAATACCGAGCAAGTGCCCACTCAAAATTTTAACATAATCACAAAAAAATAGGGTATGGGTGCATGTGAGGTCATCAATTTTATATATATATGTACTGTGCATACTTTTTCAGATGTTTCAAATATTGAGGGTGGGTACTTAGTGCGTTGTGAGTTCTGACACCCTACGTTGTGAGTGTGTAATTAAATATGTGACTATTTTATCAAATTATAGTGCCATCTATGTCATTCTACATCATGAATGTTTAAATATGCTGCAAAAGGTTGAAAACTTACTTGACTTTCGCTGCTTTTTTGGCATGTGGGATGTCTTCTTCCAGCTGAAGAATGTCCTTGAACTGAAAAATAAACCAAAAATGAGCTCCCAATTTCTGTGTGAAAAACCAAAATTTTACCAGAAGTTAGTATATTGTTCAAATGTCAGTGTCCTAAACATATTAATTTTACATGAAGTAGAAGTAAAGTAGAAAGAAGTAAAGTAGATTTTACTAAAACAACAGATTATGGCTGACTGCCACATGGGCTCCACACACATTTGATGTGGTTTTAAGTTTGCCTGTCCAGGAGTAAAATCATAAAATCATAATCATTTCATACAATATAATACATCATATGTTTACAACTTAAATAAGCATTCTTTTTTCAAATGTTACTGACTTTACTGTCAGAGTGCTAGCTGTGGTCTATATAAATGCAAGTGTTTTAGCAATTAATATAAAATTCTGAGGTCTAAAATGTAAAAGAAATAAAGGACCTAGTCTAAAAAAGTAAAAACAAAATTAGTAGTTACAAACAATCAAGTTTCACATCTACTTGCTCAGCAGCCATAAGCATATCACGTAAAACATACACCCCCAAAACAATTTTTTATTTGTGCAGCTGTTTTATACTAGTGTTTACTGACACTGCACGACAGTTAGTACAAACATGGCACCTCCTCACATTTCACTGAAAGAATATGTTGAGAATCACTAAAGTTTAGCCATGTGCAAATAGCACATTTTGATTTTGAAGGGTGTGTGGTTTGGACCAAATATATTTTAATCTACTATTGAATAACCTTAGCTCGACGTGAGCACGTTGATGAAGTTAAGTAAGACAGAAAGAATAAACATAGGAATAGACAGAACAGCACCTCTTTTGTTAAAACAAATAGCTTCATCAATATCATCTGTTGGGCTAGTTGGTTAGACATGATCAGATAAAATTAGCGCAAACGACAAGAGAAGAGAAAGGTAAGAGAGGACAGGACAGAGCGCTACTCACAACTGACGTTTTAATAGAAAAGACAAGAAGGAAGTGAAGCATTTTTAAAAAAATAAAAGGAAAAGGATAACCCAACGAAAATACGCCCGCGCCCTAGGTTGTCTTTCTAAAAGAAGAAGAAAAACGCCAAAATCGTGACTACCTTGGGTTGCTGTACTAAAGGAAGAAGAAATAAGAAAACATCTCAGAAAATAAGCTAGAACGTTCAGATGTTGAACACTTCGTCGGACCTAATGTGACACAAAAGTTAAAATTCTATCTTCATGTACACTACACAATTCTTGCGGCGTATGGATCGTTACTGGTTTAGTCCAAGATAGTGTAGTTCTTTTGGTGAAAGGGTCACCGAAGGGGCACTGATGCAGGTGTTCCCGCGCGTGATGATGGCTTGCGCCTTGAAAATTTCTCTAGCTCTTTTTTCGCCGTAACGCCTCAGCACTTTGGTGTTGTTCAGCAAAGGCGAGCAGTGACAGTCTCGTACATGCACGGCGAGGTGTCCTGCTGGTGACGACTTTAGTGCAAGAGCATGTTCTCGAAGACGGTCATTAACACATCTTCCTGTCTGGCCCACATACACATTTCCGCATGTTAACGGTATCTCGTAGATTACACCACAGCTGCAGTCCACGTATTTGTGTCGATGGTTTACTCCACAATGTGCATGTAGTATCTGCGTGTTGTTGATTTTCGGACAGAGCTTCTTCAACTTATCCGGTGCAGATAGCACGACTTCAACATGGAACTTGGAGGCCACCTTCTTTAAGTTATGCGAAATACGATGAATGTATGGTAGGACTGTTGGTCGGTGTCTTCTGTCCCTTTCTTTGTCTCGTTTACCGCGTGAAGTAATCAAACACTCAGCGACTTCATACAGCAGGGAACTCGGGTACCCAGAAGACTTGAGTCTTTGCACTTGGGCATTAAAACTATCACTTGCTGAATGTGCACAAGATTTCTTTAGTGCTGCTTTCAAGCAACTGGTAACAATACCTCGTTTTATAAGCTTGGAATGGGCCGAGTCAAACTGTAAAAGTCCTTTCTGGGTTCGTGGAGAGTACATCCAGCATGTATGGTCTTGAATGAACGTCAGCCTGAGGTCTAAAAATTGCAGGACCGCATTCGCTGGTGTCTCATAAGTAAAATTGAGGCCCTTTCCTCCTTTTAAGAAGTCTGAACGTATGTTGTTGATCATTTGTGCCTCTTTGTCATCCGGGCTGCATGTAAGTAGAACCAAGTAGTCATCCACGTATCGAAAAATACGGGATATTTGTTTGTTAGACGTTCTGTTGGCTATCTCTCTATCACATTGAGACAAGAAAATGTCGCATAAGATAGGAGCTACACATGACCCTATACAAATGCCCTTCTTTTGTATGTAGGTCTTGCCATCAAAAGTGACCAGAGTGGCAGAAAGGTAAAAGCTCAGAAGTTCTAAAAAAGATTCAACCGGCATGCCACATTGGTTTTGAAAAGGAATTGAACCGTTTGCTTCTATGCATTCCTCTACTGCTGTAAACAGCTTATTATGTGGGATCGAATAAAACAAGTCTTCCACGTCAAGAGAAAACCCATAACGGGCTGGAGTGGAATCTTGCTCCAGGTAACAAATTATCTCCTCTGAGTTTTTTTACCAGAAATGGATCATCCAGATGAAGATGGATGACTACTTGGTTCTACTTACATGCAGCCCGGATGACAAAGAGGCACAAATGATCAACAACATACGTTCAGACTTCTTAAAAGGAGGAAAGGGCCTCAATTTTACTTATGAGACACCAGCGAATGCGGTCCTGCAATTTTTAGACCTCAGGCTGACGTTCATTCAAGACCATACATGCTGGATGTACTCTCCACGAACCCAGAAAGGACTTTTACAGTTTGACTCGGCCCATTCCAAGCTTATAAAACGAGGTATTGTTACCAGTTGCTTGAAAGCAGCACTAAAGAAATCTTGTGCACATTCAGCAAGTGATAGTTTTAATGCCCAAGTGCAAAGACTCAAGTCTTCTGGGTACCCGAGTTCCCTGCTGTATGAAGTCGCTGAGTGTTTGATTACTTCACGCGGTAAACGAGACAAAGAAAGGGACAGAAGACACCGACCAACAGTCCTACCATACATTCATCGTATTTCGCATAACTTAAAGAAGGTGGCCTCCAAGTTCCATGTTGAAGTCGTGCTATCTGCACCGGATAAGTTGAAGAAGCTCTGTCCGAAAATCAACAACACGCAGATACTACATGCACATTGTGGAGTAAACCATCGACACAAATACGTGGACTGCAGCTGTGGTGTAATCTACGAGATACCGTTAACATGCGGAAATGTGTATGTGGGCCAGACAGGAAGATGTGTTAATGACCGTCTTCGAGAACATGCTCTTGCACTAAAGTCGTCACCAGCAGGACACCTTGCCGTGCATGTACGAGACTGTCACTGCTCGCCTTTGCTGAACAACACCAAAGTGCTGAGGCGTTACGGCGAAAAAAGAGCTAGAGAAATTTTCGAGGCGCAAGCCATCATCACGCGCGGGAACACCTGCATCAGTGCCCCTTCGGTGACCCTTTCACCAAAAGAACTACACTATCTTGGACTAAACCAGTAACGATCCATACGCCGCAAGAATTGTGTAGTGTACATGAAGATAGAATTTTAACTTTTGTGTCACATTAGGTCCGACGAAGTGTTCAACATCTGAACGTTCTAGCTTATTTTCTGAGATGTTTTCTTATTTCTTCTTCCTTTAGTACAGCAACCCAAGGTAGTCACGATTTTGGCGTTTTTCTTCTTCTTTTAGAAAGACAACCTAGGGCGCGGGCGTATTTTCGTTGGGTTATCCTTTTCCTTTTATTTTTTTAAAAATGCTTCACTTCCTTCTTGTCTTTTCTATTAAAACGTCAGTTGTGAGTAGCGCTCTGTCCTGTCCTCTCTTACCTTTCTCTTCTCTTGTCGTTTGCGCTAATTTTATCTGATCAAATAGCTTCATTAGGCACCTGCATCCAGCCCAAGAAACCCAGAGATGAAAAGAAGGAGGGCAAAAAGCGGGAACAGGAAAAAGTGAGGGGTGGTAGGGGAGGATGAAGGTGACACAGACAGGAAAATTACTAGCGAAAGAGGTGCTGTTCTGTTCATCCCTATGTTGATTCTTTCTGTTTTATTTATTGAACAGTGTCTCCTATATTTCCACTACCGCAACATACTTAAACGAAAACCCAGCTAAGCTCACGAAGATTGCTCCCAAGCTTCCACTTGTTCATTTCTATGCTGAGTTAATTATAATCCAACTACATTTATAGACTCTAGCCTCAGAAAGTGCTGTGCCTACATTTCGATGGCAAGTAAAACAACACATTTGAGATAAACTTAAACCTATATAGAGACACGCAGCAATACCTAATCAAGGGAATCTATAAATCCTCTCATATGCAAAGATCCTTTCTCAGATCTCGAATTTAAGAAAATAAAAAGGCCAATCTTGAATTATGAATGCACGCTGTCAGGATATCCCTGACATATACTCTTACATAATAGCAACAGCTTAATTGTGAAAAGTTTACTGTAGCTTAGATATCAACATTTACAAAGGCCCTTTCTTATTAAATACACCAGGCTTGCCCGTGCACCATATCCCCTTGAAAGTGTGCTTTCCACCCACTTTCCACTCAAGCATTCGACTGCAATATTTATACTTTTCTAAATGTTGATCGCGGCGGGTTAACCCCGTTTAGCGCGCTTCTTACCGAGCACCGGTGCACTGCAGAGAAGCAAAATCCACGGGTGTTGCTTTTCTGCAGTGCACCGGTGCTCGGTAGAAAGCGCACTCAACAGGTCTAACACACTACTATCATCGCTTAAAAAAAATATGAATATCGCAGTCCATCTCGAAGCGAATATTGATTAGCGTATTATTTAAAACTACATGTACTATACGAAAATTCGAATATTCGCCCAACCAAGTACACTATCTAGATTGATACTCAAAATAAGCCCTCTCCACCACACTAGTAGACCTGAATAGCCTTTATTCTAAAAAACAAAATAACTGACCATCACTTGTCAAATTTTGTTGTACTCTCAACATCTATGTGCACACACTTTCTTGATTCACAAACCTTTGTCACCACAACAGAATAGAAAAAACCTGTCTCCTAAGCTCCATTTCACACCAAGCCTGAGCGCAGTCCATGCTACAATTTGATGAAGTCAATCAAGCGCAGCACCAAAAATGTGTTGTCACGACGTTTACTGTCTTTCTGCGCTTGCTGTCATTGGCTAAACTAATCAAGCAAGTATGAAAAAGCTCCACAATAATATTTCTAAAAATAAGGTCGGTAGTTTCACCATGCAAAAGCCACTACTTACCTTCTTCTCGAGCGTCTCAATGAGGTAGTGCAGCAGGGTGAAGTTGCGGTTGGTGCTGGACTTGGTGTCTGCCAGGTGGTTGAGGCTCGAGAGTTTGAACCCCACAGCATTGCCTCTCTGTCCCCGGTTCATGTAGTTCCCAAATGCCAGGACCACCTCGAGGAGCTTCTTGAGCCGCTTGCTCCGTTGCACCTCTTTGGAGGCCTCGAGCACAGCTGAAAGTGTTGGAAAGTCTCAGTTTTGAGGCCATTCATGATGGATTCTCGAACTGGGTGCTCGAGACCCCAGGGGTCCTCCAAAAGTAGCCACATGGGTTCTCCTAGCTCTCGAATTTGCTCAACCATCCCTTCCACATTGTAAAGTGTTTTCTCAGTTTGAGAATAATTTTAGCAGCCCTAAAGGTAACCCATTAATGCATAACTAAGCACCAAAAACACTAGTACATATGTGATAGGGGTTCTCAAGATATCAATCTGAGTTTTATAGATCAATCAGAGTTTTATTGTTTCCCAAACAGCTTTAGCGGCCTTTCTAGGGTTACGCTTCACATCATAAAGCAGCACCGAACTAAACAAACTACATGGCAATCCTAACCATAATACTATTCTTGAACTTTTTAGGTAGGGGTTCTCAAGATCAAAAAGCTTCAGAACAGCTGGCCTACTAAAAACACTAGGATTATTTACTGGCTATCATTGAGTATTCTCAAGCCCTAACAACTGCAGTCTACTGATGTAAATTATTTATGGATGTCACAAAACACAAAGATAAGAAATGCAACAATGCGACTTGATTTTAAGAATTTTGAACAAGAGATGATGATGATGATTGCGACAGTGAAGTTACAGAGGCTACAAAGTGTCAGAAATTTAAGTCAGTGAAACTTGCGTCAGTACTGCAATTCCTAGAATAAATCAGTCAAAAATTTAGAATATAACAAGTACATAACAATGCAGTTGCTGTTGCATTGCAGTAAAAATTACTCTGCTAAGTTCATCATAAAAATGATGCAACATGGTCCATTTGAGCACTCATTCGAAATTGCATGTTACAATAACTATGAGTTTCAAAGATTCATGACCGTACACAATTGCCGAAAAGATAGACCGGGACAAGAACTTGACGTAAACACTAGCGCATTCGCAACTAACATTTATTAAAAAAAAACAATCCCTTATATAACCATGAAGAACGTCAGTCATACTACAACCGGTGTAGCCTTCTATCAATAAATTCACATTCTTTTGTCATGAATGTGTCACTTGTACACCTTGTGCCTTCGGCTTTAATCTGAAATGCCTCGTATAGCTTTCTAGATCCTTTATCTGGTAGATGTCTTTATTCATACGTGATTTTGTGTATTACATGTTGTAATAAGCATTTGTTTTTGCCACGAATGTTCTAAAAATTGACTGAATAAAATTGTATCTGCAGTTACACTGTCCTATTGCAGCTCTCACTCATCACCCTATTTGAAGTTGAGCACTCTGAAATGCTAAACTCCCCTAAAGACTCAAACTTTCAACTGTCATAAACTAATGCTCTGAAAAACTCTAAATTTCATAAAAAAAGTTCCAAAAAACTCTTTTCGATTTTCCTCGAAAATAAGCTCTGAAAACGCAGTATCCTACACATAGGGTATATGCCGATTGCTGATTTAGCCGCCTCCCATGCAAAGTCTTCACAAAAAGCCTGCATGATAGACATTAGACATATAAACCATGTTGATTTAATGTGATACTAGGGATGAAGGTAAACATCAAAATGCACAGAAGGAACAAAAAATAGACAGGACGACGTCTCAAACTCTGCTAACTTGTTTATATAGTTCACATTTTTATAAAATCCCCAACTCAAGGTATTTACCACCAACAGAGAAGGACAAAGTCTATAGAGGTCAAGTGCAACAACCTCCATCACACAATGTAATAATGGCGACAACCTTACAGGTCGACAAGCTAAGGCAGCACCGATTCTCCTTCAAACTTCAACAGAAGGATGATTCCCCCCTTCTATTTTGGACACAGTTCCCACTTCTGACACAATAATGCCCTCTCCACCTAATACCCGCAGAAAACCCTGAAACGGCCTTCGGGCCAACACAATGTTGGGAAACAAAAAAACAAACAAAAATCAAACAAAAAAAACTGCAAAGCAACGAGAAAAAAACAAAGGAAAGGGCCTTACAAACATTTTGGACGGTCAGGACATAAGCTCCCTGTTTACTCTTCAAGACAACAAAACCACACGCACACACAAAAAATTGACATTACATTTTTAGCAAGTTTTTTTAATTGTCTGTTTTGTAAAGTCTTCGGTCGGAAATGCATTTGAAAGGTTGTGTCCATTATATTATTGAATCGGTAGAAAGACAGTGGAAAAGGGTGATCAGTGTAGAATATGATGACAGTTTTATCAAACAGAAATTAGAATTGTTTATCAAAGGCAGGAGAGAAACTAAACAGAATCCAAGGAACTGCTTTGCTGTATTCCCCTATTTTCATAAGATTTTCCACAACTTTGAAAAAATGTGGAAAGAAGTTTGGAATGGAGAAGGTCTTTAGTTAGAATTTCAGATTATGTAAATTAACACCATTTAAAACAGGTGTGAGTGAATGCAAAAAGGCCCATAGGGAAAATAGATATGTTGTGTGAATGGTAACATTGTGTATGAAATACCATTAGAGTATGGGTTTAAGTATGTAAAAGTGACATCACGCGGAATCAGTGACATATTAAATGAATGTATAAGAGGAATGTGAAGAGCAGTGCACAACGGTCTGTTCGGAAACGGAAATGATAATAAGGAGAACAATGTAAAAGGAGTAGTAAGAGAAACTGTGCGGTCAAAATCTCTAGGAAATTTTATGAGTCAGGCTTTGCTAGGATTCCAAAACAATTCAAAAGCTATTTATAAATGTAACGCCAATTTTTGTTTGCTTGTCAGTTTTGTTGTGTCTTGAAAAGTGAACAGGGAACCTATGTTCTCATTGTCTGGAATGTTTGTAAGGCACCCTTTTTTTTCGGGTTGCTTTGCAGTTTCTTTTGTTTCTCAACCTTGTGTTGGCCCAAAGGTCCTTTTGGGGCTTTCTTCCAGGGGTATTAGATAGAGGGCATCTTTCGTATCAGAAGTGGGAACTGTGTCAGAATAGAAGGAGAGATTGGTTTGTTCAAGCTTGAAGGAGGATGGGTGGTGCCTTAGCGTGTCGACCTATAAGGTTGTCCCCATTCTTACATTGTGTGATGGAGGTTTTGGCGCTTGAACTCTATAAACCCCGTCCTTTTGTGTTGGTAGTGATGAACTTGAGTTTGAGACTCTATAAGGAGGTGTACCAAATAAACAAGTTAGCCGAGTTTGAGATGTTGTCCTGTCGATCGTTTGTTCCTTCTACATTTTGATGTTTCTCTTCTTCCCCAGTCTCAGGTTAAATCAACATGGTTAATATTCCTCAGCTCACCTGCACCCTCCCTATATTTTCATTAGACATATGTCTCATTCCCTACATTTTATAATAGGTCCTGAAAACTCTGTAACCACCAAATGGTAACCTGCTTTTTAGGCATCTCTTTAGACATGTTCAAGGAGATATAAAATCAACTCACCAACAATCTTGGGCTTGCAGTCTGCAACCCTTTCTTGGAACTTCTTCTTGTAGTACAATGTCTTCAGTCGTTGTTCATAGTGAATAATCCTAAAGTGACAATGCAGGAATATTATTTCTTGTCTGAATGTTATAGTTACTATTACTGAAGAAGTTAGCATATGGTGCACTTGCCTGCTGATTTCATAGAGGAATCTGTCAGCCTTGGCCATGTTGTCCAGCTCTGTGCTGTGTTCTTCCAACAAAACTTTTTCCTCAGGGCTTGGGAGAAACTTGAGCAACTGAAAACGGTGACAAACAAAGGAGGAGACCAAAAAAACTTTGAAATGACCACAGGGACATTTTGAAGTATTTACATAGAGGAATAGGCTTTTTAAAATTGTGGCAACTATAGCAGTATATTTTGTTTCAGCTGTTAACAAAGTTGCTTGAGTCTCAAGCAATCTTATCTCTAAAGGCCCGTTCACACTCTTGCGACCGACTTTGATTGAGAGAGACCAGACAGGTTTTTAAGCCTTTTGCGACTTCTTAGGACCGGATGCGATGCAGCGGAGCTGGTCCTAAGAAGTCGCAAGAGGCTTAAAAACCAGTCTTATCTCTCTCGGTTGAAGTCGGTCGCAAGAGTGTGAACGGGCCTTAACTTTTTTTGCAAAGATTGATTAGGTGGAATGCTTTTCCCATATTGCTGGCTTTGTCACCCTGCACAACTCAGCATGAGAAACCAGATTCATAAAAGACTTCACAATCTGTGGATCTGTACAAATGAAATGGGACATAGCAGAGCAGAGATAAAAATTACATTTATCAGTTCAAAAAATGCCATTTGTTCACAGTTTTGTTCTTAATTTGAAGCAATTGCAGATTAATGAAACTACTGCATTTATAAGTAGTGAATATTTATTTTCCACACTCTTAATAGTAGTGCTTGAAATAATAAAGCAATACCAGAAAGCTATATTTCAATAAACCCAAAATCCGCAAAGCTAGGTTCCATATTCTTTCTACATTTTTCTGTTCCTGTTGAGACTTTTGATACTATTATGATGAACAGAGCTACAGGAAGGAGGAAATAGCTAACTACAAAAAAACCGACAAACAGTGTTTTTTCTGCAGTTCCAAGCCTAAATAGGCTGCACTAAATGCGCGGCACTCACATTAGTATAATTGCACGCTCCAAGCCCTGGGGTGTGTGAGAGTCACTGAAGCTGGGGGCGTGACAACTGAATGACTCCCCTGCCATTCTGATCCCATCGGTTACTATAGAAACAATTTAGACAAAGGCTGTCTGCCAACCTGTTCCACCATGTCCTTGGGCAATTGGTCCTTGGAGTCCATAGAAAGAATGGCCTTAGAGATTTCCTCATTTGTGAGCCTCAGCTTGGACAACAGGATGGTGCAGTTCTGGGCCCTGCGACCGTCGATCAGCGACAGTTCCCGTACCCGGGGACTCCTGGAGGTGATGGTAGTGATGTCCTCCAGAGACCCATTGGCCTGCAAAGAGGATGCTTACAATTTTCGCACAACCAAAATTAACATCTTTCGTGTTTTCTTAAAAAAGGTATGCTATTTGTTGCCTGGTCATTGACCAGAATCACTCGAGCACCATGCTTAGGCTGTCCACACTTTTCTTTACTGTTGTCTTGTGCTGCATGTTGGTAGTTCATCCATTCATGTTACATAAAGTTTGCTTATGAACCATGGGGCACTAATATCTTGTTCTGGCTGTGGTTCTGAAATGCAGTTTTTTTGGACTGTAGATACAGTGTTGGAAAATCATGGCACTATCGTGTTGCTTTATCACAAACTGTTTTAGCAAACGGGAGCATGGAAGGCCCTTACCACACTTTAGGTTTAACATGACAGCAACAGCTAGTGACAACTGGCAACACTGGTTTTATAAATATGGCTGAATGGCATTACTCATCAACTGCGCACTATATAGCAATTATTCCGGATAGTTATTAGCAAACAAAAGCCAACTCAATTAAAGGCCCTAACACCAAAGAAGCCCTATTTTTATTTACAGAGCGCTTGTTTTTGGCTCCCAGAAATTCAACCCGAACAGTGAAAGGGACTCACCCCACAACCAAGCTGTTTCTGGTATGCTGAAAATGTTCTGTCAATGTCTGCAAGGTCAATGTCCTTGTACATCTTCATATCATCCAGCTCCGTCCACACCGTGCCATCTACTCTCGTCTGAAAAATGAAATCAAACAATATATATACACAAACATGCAAACCTGACGTCACGCCACAGCGGTGGTGCTACTATTGTCAGGGCACGTGTACAGACGTTTTACTTCACATTGCTCTGGTTCCTGCACACGCGCAGCACCTACACCTCATGCAGGAATTGCACATTTGCCCACACCTCGTGTGGGGTTGTTTGCAGCACGTTGACCTATAGGTACTAGTTGTTGAAAGAAATATAATACAAAAAATTGTAGAGCAAGACTTTTTAAATTGTGTTACCTTAACTTGACCAATAGACTGATCTCAGCAAGCGTTCCTCGCATGCGTGATGCCGCCATAACTGTACTTCATAGGAGGCTGGCACCAGCACATGAGACAGCTTGTGCCACCTTGTGCTCTGCTCGCACAGATCGACCCTCAGCGTAGATGCCATGTGTGCAGAAAGACACCAACTCCCACAATGCCTGGCGGCAGGGGTGGCATAATGAAACTGGTTGGGAAATAAGTCTATTGAGGCAGTGTCTATAAGCTTGGTCCTTCTACTTTCTCACAGAGCACACATACAACCAATCATAGCGTCCTAGGTAAAAAGCATAGCAAATAACGAGTTGAAGAAAATTTGTTTTTTTGCGAAAATGCTATCTGCAAAAACTTGAACACCTTCAAGAGAGGATGTTCTCTTTTGTAAGTAACTGGGCTTCTTCTGTTGATTGCAATGTCGTTAATAAAAAGAGTCTATTACTTAAGTATGGTATGTTGGTAGTGAATTGCACCATTTGTTTTGTGGTGACTAGACGCACCGATAAGAGAGTCCAGTCTCGGCAGCAGAAAAAGAGAAAAAGACGCGTGCGCTAGCTGTACGCTCACGAAGATCAGTTCCTGACGAGACACCACTGAAATAAAATATTGTTTTGGAACGTCCGTCTCCTGCCTGTTTCTTTCACCACAGTTTAATCCAAGTGATTATTGATTAACACTAATATTTACAAAATGACACAGCAGTAGATGACAATAAAGTCTATGGGAAAGACTGTGCATCACTAGCACAATTCACATTACAGATTGCTTAAAACTTAATGGGGTACGAAAACGAAATGACGAGAGCATGAGCTTTCTACCCCTCGCTTCAAAGTCGGCCAGCAAGAAGCGCAATGCGCATTGCATTCGTGGTGTCAATAGTTCATGCATGGCCAACGTTACTATAGTTGCCAGCTTTGCCGCTTAGAGACGTCAACGTGTGACAATCTCGCCTAGTAGTAATATCCGAGGAGTGCATGCCCCATGGCCAATACTTAGCTTGCCCGTAATGTCATTTGCAGCCATGCCAGTATTTTAGGTGCTACAATTAAGCGTTCGGTACAGTGTGTTAGTTTCACACCGGAGTAGTAGTAGCTCGAGGGAACCAGTAAGTAGAAAAAAAGCATCAGTACCAAACAATGGTGACACTTGCAAGATATGTATATGAGGTATATTCACTGGGTGCCATATTTGAGTGCAGTTTACATATTCACAGCGCATCAGGGGGGGTAGAGATGTATGGTTGGTTTGGCAGAGGTCCATGCATTATTTGATCAAACTTTTACCTAGCGTCTGCAAAGAACGGCGATCTTGATAGTGAGGAATGCACATTGCGGAAGCACGGTAAAAGCTTTAACATATAAAACGTAATGAACGCGTTGGCGTTCTTCGCCAAGTAACATTCATGACTAAGTAACTGCATGAGCGAGCCATACTACCGCAAACTGGTGCTGCTTCTTAGGAACTCATGACGTGGCGGCATTCTAATGGAGATTAACAGGCTGCAACCAGATGCAATTTTGAAATCTGTTCATTTGTTTTAAAATTAGTTTTCTTGACTTCTCTGCCAGCAGGCCGGAAGCACTAGTCAAGGCTAGTGTTTCTGGGCTGCCAGCACAACATAGACCATATCTCAACAAAGGAACAAGTACAAGCATTTTGTTTCCTGACCCCCTTAGGGCACACCAACTCAAGTGGTACCAGAACACATGAGGAGCAGCTACTGTTGAGGACAGCAAGGTAGTCACTATTCTCAGTCATCAACCAGCATAGACAATTGCAAGCATGGCACCCTGACTGGTGCCCCATGCGTGCAAGCACGTACAGCTTGTGCGTGACCACAGCCTTGGCAAGCTTGCAATGCATGGGCTTGTCTACACAAGCAAAACATGTGCCGGCGGCCAGTCACCTCACTTGCATACATCTACGCAAAAACACCTAGTTTTTGGGTTTCTAAACTGTTTCAACATTTTAATTATTCCCAACTGATGTTGATTAGGTATATCCTTACATAAAAATGTTTATCTATTACACAAGATAAATCATACAAATTAGAACATACTTCCCAATGACTGAATGACTGAGCCATAATATCTACAAATGACTATCCAGATTGCACATACCTCTGGCAGCTTGGACCAGTTGAAAGACTTGAGAGGGTTTGTAGGCTGCGGGATGTTTTTCGTTGCCCTGGTTGTTCTTGTCAGGGGCATGCATGGTGGAGGCGGCGGGGCAGATCCTGCAGTACAGGCAACAAGATTCATGAATCACAACGAGAACTGACATTCTAGTGAACCAGACCCTGAGAATGCCACCATCCGTTGGTGAGCAGCACCAGCTTGTCACCTATCTTCGAAAACTCAGAAGTGCAAAAGACAAGTGCCAAAGTTAAAAGGATTGCAGACCTTGTCTCTAAAAAAATAAGCATATTTAGGTTGGAATTGAAGCGAGTCAGTTTCCACTATATATTATGTTTTCCTCTATGCCCATTGCTAGTTGAAATATCTGGTTCTGTTGTCCTTGTCTTAAATGTTTCTTCTCTCTTCAATCCTGATAGTGTATTTTTGTGTGTTCCTAATCATAATACAATGATCTTGAAACTGCTTTCGAGTTCCCCAGAAGTCTTTGCAGTTCTTATCTTGTTAACTGAAACATATTTGCCAAACTTGGCTTTTTTTAGTTTCAATTTAAGAAAGCTAGTGTAGTGTGTAGAAATCAGTGCAAAAAGAGAGCCGCCTATCGGGCACCTCAGAAATAACATTGCAACTGCAGCAAGCGTTTTTGTTAAATTTTCTTTTCTCCTCTCCGTTTCATTGAAACTAAGCCGTGTCACCATAGTGTAGCATGGAACTTACTGCAATATGTAAGTCTAATCGTGTGCTCCTAAGATGCTACAGCAACACAAACGTGCTTGCATTTTTTACTCTAGAAACTTTTGGGTTACCTGGCAAAGGCGGGGGGGCTGGCGGTGGAGCTCCATTGGACGGAAGTGGTGGTGGGGGCGGTGGGGGAGTGGAAAACGACCCTGTGTAGGAGGCAGAGCCAGCTCGTAGGCGTGTCTCGTCCGACACACCATTGCGAAGACTTCCGTCCCCAAGACTCTTTTGCCGCCGCTCGCAATCCAACTGCCACCGAAACCAAGAAAAAAAAGTTTATAAATGTCGTGAGTGGCATTGCAAGCGACCGCCGACTGCAGCGCCACGACGCGCCCACGCACAGAGTACTCTCGCCCCGGGGGGCCAGCAGACGAGAGAACGGCGCAACCATGCAAAGACACGGCTGTATGTCGCTGACCGCACGTATTGCCTTTAACCCGCAGTCAAACATTTCTTGTTATACCTGAACAACAGCTACGACAATAAAGCGACAGGTAGAACCTGTTCATAGGATTATGAGGCTATAATGTCTTTGAAAAGCCTTTACTGTAGCACTAGTAAAATAAGATACCGAGCATATGCTTATGTCCTAATGAGCGCCCTCCGGCTACTGTTCAAACACTTGGTAAGTCAGCAAAGGACACACTAAGTGCCCATTCCAGGCTTTTGAGCCTATGTTGCTAACCGAAACGCACTTTCACGTCAGCAGCTTCTCCGATCACACTAATGCAAAGTGGTGAAGCTTGACACACGAGCGCCGGTCAAAGTGGTGAAGCCCACCTTCTCATGTGCCCCTTGTGCACTTTTGCTCTCAGACCTAACAAGCCCCCATGCCGATGTTTTTACAAAATTATCTTTCATTTTTGTGTGGGCGCTTGCTTAATATATTTAAGTAGCCCTATGGGTCTACCACAGTACAAAAGATAATAAGCTTCTCCTTAACGTCAGATCTGCTGTCGCATCAATTGACAGAAAATGACACAAAATTTCTCATAAAAACATTTTGACCAATTTTTGGCAGTCTGTTGGTTGCACCTTCCATTTGTTCTACGAGTAGTGCAAGTGTACAATTAGACCAATCTGTAAAACTTTCAAATCATGGAAGTTCAAAAGCATCTCTAAAATAATTTTAGAGATTTTTAAAATCTCAAAGTTACTACTACTACTAAATATATGCTTTTGATTAGTTGCTTACAAAAAAACTGTAGTCTGTGTTAGTGCGATGCCAACAGGTCCAGAACAACATTTCTTGGCATTTCCGAGGAGAGAAGGAAAGCGCATGCACAGCCTTAATCAGCACTCCAAATGGGAGGGGGCATGCGTGCCCATACTGTTCACTGCATTGCCCAAAAATAGTTGTCCCCGATTATACCCAGCTGGGAACTGTACTCACGGCCTGAGTGATTTCTCGTATGCGATACTCCAACTCCTCGATCTTTTGCTTGTCCTCCAAATGCCCGACCGTCTCTCGTTCCAACTTGTCTTTCGTCTTGGCCAGTGCTGCCTGGAGATCTTCCTAGTTGAGGGAAAGTAACCAAGACCGTTTAATATAAAGTCGGGGTGACAAGGGCATAGAAAAGTGTGGTACAATGTTGCACAACACTGGCGAACATCTCTTCTAAAACAGCATTAGAACAGTTTCAAAGTGAAAGACCAAATAACTTCACAACATCTTTAGTCGTACTTTTGAAAGAAAGATTGGCCCGAGTTGAAAACTTTAAATACCAAACTCTGGTTTGCACTGGCTGTACATCTTTATTGCAACTAAAACATTGCAAAACTATGATGTCAAAGTTTTCGAGTTAAACCATTATCAAAAGATTGACCGTATTTGTTGTGCTCAATATATGTTTTGCAAAGGAACATACGGTATTATATATTTCATGTACAGCGGTAATCACACTTGCCCATAACGCGAGAGCACGTGGCTTTCTCCGGTGAGCGCTATTTGGTGGCATTCATGACAACTAATATAGTCACGCAGGGGAACATGAAACAACCCGCTCTATCGGGGCCACGGGGGCTGTCGGACGCGGGAGGCTGTTACCTTGCTCTTCGCAAATGTCAAAGCCTTATCAATAGAGAACAAAAAAATTAAACCTGAAGGTTTATTAACAATGTCACCATCAAGAAAAAATAAGATTGCAGGGTTGTGCCTTCAGAATTTGCCGGCGGCCCTTGAATGAGTGGGTAGGACACTCCTTGAGCGGAAGTTGCATGTTACACCATGTGACTAGTAGATTAGTTTTCGCGAATGCCACCAGTTGAGCGCTCGCCAGAGAAAGCCACCTCTTCCACGTTATAGGTAAGTGTGATTAATTAATGCTGTACACGAAGAAACAGAACGAAAAGTATACAATCTTCAGCTTTAAACCTACAAAGCCAAAAGAGGGCTCACAAGGTAATTTAAGAGAAGTGGTAATATTGCTAATAACTGCTCATTTTAAATATGATTTGAGGGCACATCAATTTTTAATATTTTTGTGAAAGTAATGCATGCCATCTCCTGCCGAGTTCTTTGCCTGCAAGCACTGCTGCACTGCAAAAGAGTAGCAGGTTAGAAGACTAAATCAAATTGTTCCAAGGTCTATGGAAATGCTGCCTGCCAAAATGACAAAGATAGCCCAATGGACTTTTATAAGACATTAATGGGACATTACAACATCCCAGCAATATTCCCAGAACCATGGGCATAGTTAGATTTTTTTCAGACACTATCTTAATGTCTTTCTTATGTTGTGGACAACTTTCCGATATATTAGATACTTGAACAGTCATCTTGTCAATTCATCAAAACTCTGCAGTGTATACCATTGTGGAGAATAGTATTTCTTGCCAGCATGCTATATGTTTAACACGGTGAAAGGTTACAACTTCAGTGTGTTCATATCAGGTCTGTATGTCTCCGATTCTCTATGAAGTTATTAACAACTTATTTGCTGCAAGGTGTTAGGGAAATGAAGATAATACCTTTTCCTGCGTGCTTTGTTCAAGCTCTTGCTCCTTCTTGACAATCTGCGTTGCAAGATCGATGTTTTCCTTCTCAAATCGATCAGCATTCTCCTTGGCAACCCTCAGTTCTTCTTCTGTGGCAAGTCTGGAACAAAGTCAAAACTTCTTAAATATTATCCACCACTTTAAAAAGGCTGAGAAATGCAGGGGATCCACATGACATGAAACCCAATTTTTATGTTTGAAAATATTGGCCAAAATCCAAAATTTTGGCACTAGCCTTCTTTTCAAAAATAAGTGACAATAATAAATTTATAACACTGATAGTGTTGGTAGTAATAAAGACAATACTTTTATAAAATTTCTAAATAACTTATATCAATAATATAGTTTGAAGCAATGTTGGTGATGGAAAAGCCTGTATGTATCTGTTTTCAGTATCCTTTCTCGTCAGCTCAACCCAGCAGAACAGAAGGCAGCTGCATATTCAGTACATAGGGGCTAACATTTACACAACCATGTTAAAGTAGTAGCAATCACGTGTTCCCCGCATCCCTATCTAGGCCTAGCTTAGGCAGGCCATGGGACGTCGCCATGGGGGGCGCGTCCCGGATGCGAGAGCGAAGCCGTATCCCCTTGTGGACGACTTTCCCTCGTCCTTCTCGGTGATTTGCCGAAGGCACACCCCTCGGGATCTTGACTTGGACGTGTCCGCCCCTCCGGGGAGCCAACCTACATTCGACCCACCCCGGGCGCGTCCATTCCCACAGGCTATATAAGACGGCCCTAACCCAACGGGCAGGACTCTCGCTGGGGGAGGCTCTGCTCGACGGAACCTTCCTTTCCTTACTTGAGCCTCTCCCTCCGTGATACTGTCAATAGCGACAGCGCGGACTACGACTGGCGATCCTGTCAAAAGAAACAGCGCCGTCATCTCCACCATTGTTGGCCCTCGGGCAAACGTGTGGCGTTGTCGTGAAATAAACAGGTCATTATACGGACCCAAGGAACCTTCTGTGTTTCTGAGTGGTACCCCACAAAGGGGAAACCCAAGAAGTCTATAAAATTAGGCTTCTGAAAATCAAATACTACCTGCTTTTAGACATAGTAGCATAAAGCATCAAATAGCTCAGATGAGGCACAGCTGCATATGAACTATAGGTACTTACTCTTTGAGTATTTTTGAGACGTTGATGTCAATAACTGCAATGTCATGATCTTCACCCTTCTCTCCTTGTACCACGATTTGCTGGACAATGCGGTCAAAAAGGATCCAATGCTGCGGTGATCCACCCAGATCTGGAACAAATATGTAAAATCAGGTAACCATGTGCTTCATGTCAGCAAATAAAAAAAAGCGAAGGCTGCTGGAACACCTTCTTTCCTATAGTATAAATCTTTGAGCTCAGATGAATTGATGTTAAGGTGCCATAGCTTTAGGACAATGCTTCTATGTGTGTAGCTGAAAGACCTGTGAGTGTGTAGCCACCTCCAGGTTTCTCTGTACACTTAGGGGTTTGATGCTGCAGTGAGATCAAAATGGAATATTTGTTCATTTTTGATCTTGCTTTTGTGGTGCACACTAAAAGAGAGTCATCACAGTTATCCTACTCTAGACACGGCACAACTATTTCATAGAAATATTTTACCTGGGAAAGTGAGAATCTAAATGTATCCTTTTTTATCTAAATACACATTGGCTCCAGATGGCATTGCTGTCTGATTTGGCATCCTGCACTTGTTTTCAATATTGCAGATAATGCTTTAGTGTATAGTACAGGTTTTCAAACCGACTCATGAAAGATTTGTATATTACTGGACAGATAAAAATATTATTTCCATAGAAAAACATGTCTACATTCTTTTGTATCATCCTCGGGTGACAAGGAAAATAAATAAAAACTAAAATAAGATAAATTAATGGTTGTTCCAACATAGATCTTTTAAAATTGGGATATATCAGGGCAACTACCAAATTGGCGAAATTGTGAATCGATCCTGATTGGCTCAAGCTAGTTTTGCTGCTTTTCATCTAGTACCTACATCAAGAGCAATAAAAAGCTACAACTCTTATTGTAATAGGTGATGAAAACTCACATGGAATTAGCAGGGTATGATGAAGGAGTGAAAGGAAGTGTGGGTAAGCTGGCGTGAGCGAGAGCTTCTTGTTCACAGCCTCGACCATGGCCGTGCAACTTTTGGTGTCCACGTGGGCCTGGTTGGAAAAATTCAGAGCAAGCAGACCATATTATGACAGGTTGTAATACTAAAAGAAAGCTCATGAGTATATATGTTAAACTTATTGCTGTACTTTCATTGATAGAGTCCTAGCATGGTATAGCAAAGCTTTGCATGTGTGCTCATCTAAAAGGAACTTTTTCACAAAACAGGAAAGTATGGTGGGAAAAACCCCATGTGCGCAGGCATGCCACAGCTACATTTTAAAGCTTTAGCTTTATTGAGCCAATCAGCCTCAGGAGCCGTGTAAGCGCGAAATGAATAGACCAGTCGGTCCGTAACTGCTAAGCGATTTTTAAAAACCGCGACCGGTGCCAGAGATTGAACCCTGGTTACCGGCATGGAAGCCAAGTGTGCTGCTGACTGAGCTACAAACCCAGCCCAGGAATGGGAGGAGCAGAAGCAGGTGGTGTAGAGCGAGTGCACAAAACGAAAAGGGGCGGAAAGGGCAGGAAAGCGTGCTTTCCCTATCTTCGGGTCCCAGAAAATTCAGCACAAAGGCTCTGTATCCAGGTGGTACTGAAGGGAAGCCTGTGCAGCGTCACAAAGAGACAAAGGTGTGACATAATCTGTTTCCATACAAAACCCTGCTTCAGGCACCACCTGAACTAAGAGCACCATCCACCCTATAGAGCTACTGCATTTAAATGCATTTTAAAGGATGACCAAACATGCAGCCAATTTTTTTTTTCTGTTTGTTTTTGCATGTCTATTCCATTAATTAAAAAAATATATTTAATTTTAAACGCTTATAGACGTGGCTCTCGTACAAGCTTATTTATTAATAATTCTTTACTTAATATTTTAGTGACGTGTTTCTTTGTTTTACTGTGCACTCAATTTTTCCATTTTTGTGACTAACTGCTTGCTTTTCAGAAAATCTTACAGCTTGATCTGTGTTACTACATGCCTTGAGCTGAAACACTGATAGTGTTTCATATGTGGAGTGAGGCTTTTGAACGAGATCTTACCATGTCAAACTTTCGGCCCAGCTCTTTTTCATCCTCAAACCGCACCATTTCAAAGATGTCAAGATGCCTGAAATAACATCAAGAGATAAAATGCTCGTCATTATGTCGCCGGGCATACTAGGCTTTTGCAGCAGTAAAACATATCTAGCCACATGCTTTCTTAGTTAGGTCGCTGGCCTTGGACATCTACACACAAACCATTGAAGTACATTTTCAGTAGATAATTTATCATTATAAACAGGGTTCCAGGAGATTAATCTTTTTATGTCCTGTCAGGTGATCATATCATAACTAGGTTTCAGTTGTAGGAAGCAAAACGGACTAATAATTAGTAAGTTCATATCAATAATAAATTTAATACCTATTTTAATATTTAATACTAGTGTCCTAAGGAGCTCAGCAGGACAAATGAAAAAAGGGTCACCTCTCTCTAATGTTATTTTATTTTAATCAGCTAATGAAAGCACACATTTATAGGCTACCGTTCAATGCAATCAGCTGAAGTATTAGTTGTCAAACCTAAAAGCTGACCAAACGAAAATTTGTCCTCACACTGACTCAAAAACAATCAACTCTGGAGGTAGGCTTTCCCTCACAGCCCAGTTGTACTCTGGTAAAGCAATATGAGTTGCTGTGCATTTAGAGAAAATGTGGGATTGCTGCTGAAGGAAAAGTGCCATTTTACACCTACTTTCATCATCATCTACACACTCGATGATAAAAATTAACTTCCCAAATTTGTTATAAAAACAAAAACTCGAGTTTATTTTTCAGACTTTTTTGTCCAAAATTTTGTATGGGTATTTATATTTTATACCAATAGCAGACAAAGTGACCTATATGGGCCCAAAATGCGTCTTGGATCGGATGGGATAATGTTGACTAAACCAACTTGGGGCCCCAAAACTGATCACCACGAAGGCTTCTCACACTGTGAAAGATCTTACCTGTCGAGGGTCGCGTTCTCGTGGCTTCTGAGCTTCTCGATGGTGGGCTGAATTCCAAGCATGAGGAACTCGTAGCGGAGGTGAAGTCGAAACTCCCAATGGTCCTGGCCTGGACCATAGTTGAGAATGGCATTCACAAAGGACATGATGGCAGTCTTCAGGTTCACTTCGTCCTTGTAGATACCCGTGCTGCGATCCAGGTCGTTGAGAACGGTCTGTGGAAAGATGATGAAATTGACCCATTACACGTTAGTGAATTTGTTTATATACTGGTCTATTTATTTTAAGTACTACCGTCCTTTCATAAGAAGCCTCACAGAACCGAGCTTTTGAAGTAGAAACAATAAAGCCAGTGATATAAAATGTCTTTTACGAGTTCCACATCTTTATTATCTGGGTAATCATGCGAGGCAAAATTCATGAAAATTTTTTATGCAGCAACAACATAGCTGCACAGTTCGTTAGTTAGGCACATTGTAAGCCATGCAAAACTTACAATCATTCCGCTTCATGAATATGAATTTCCTTTTAGGTTTTGTCAATGCCCATTTTTTGTTTTGTCATATGCACATTTTTTGTTCCATTTGCCTAATTGGACCTTTGAATCTCTGTTTAGGTAGTTGTATTGCCATTTCTCGTAATTTATAATCCAGCTCATGTTTCTTTTATTCCACGCCCAAGTTGTAATGGCACCTGATATGTCAGAAAGACAACTGAATGCAATAACAAGCTCTCAAACATTTATTTTTAGTCTTAAAAACCTCTAACATGCCAAAAAAAAATTTTACATGCTAGGCATTAAAATGGTGTATCAGGACATCACCAAAAAATTGCTTCGCTTTATAGTTGCATAGTTTTTTTTATAAAAAATAGAAATACGAAGCCCAATTCAAAGTGCCCGTCAGTGCACTGTGACGTAACAATGTACCGGAAGATGTGAGGGCGGTCAGAAGGGAGGCATTGTCGTAAGTCACATGAGTTGTATCACTCCTCGTGCTTACCGCGACCGCGTGTAATTCTTTTTTATATTTTTGTTATTTTCTGCATTTTCGCGAGCAATCCAAGCAGACAAGGATTCTTTTATTTGCTTTTCATCGCCTAATGTTGCCGTAAAGGTAGAAGAAGAAGAGTCAGTGAACCTAGTAAACAAGTTCTGCTCATGTTCTAGTCAAAACACATACTTTATGCTCGACATTTACTTGTACTTGGTACACTCACCAGTTCGTATTCTCTAGACGGTACACATCTTCAGCCTGGAGAGTATCCGATAATTTAACAACCTTGGTGTCTGAACCTTCAGCAATGCGGTCGGGCGTGTCGTATGCTAGCAAACCTAATTTCTGCAAGCGATCTAAATTTTTTTTTTTTTTCAAAACTCGATTGTTTGTTTTGTGTTCAGTATGGCTCTGTACCATCGGACTGATGGAATGCACTTATACACTGGTTTGTACTCGCAACGCTTTCATCATTGACCTCCATCACATCGATCCACTGACTGATCGTCCTCAACTTTTACAGTACGCAAACTAACCAACGGTGCAGCGATAAAAAGCTAGCGAAACTGAAACTTCGTATTCTACTCGTAAAAAAGACCAGAATAAAAAAAATAAAAAAAGTCTTAAACACGGTCATGGAGAGCCTGAGGAGTGGAACTCACGTGACTTCCGGTGAACCCACTTTTAGTGACATAGGTCGATGCCTCCCTTCTGACCGCCCCGACACCTTGCGGTACATTGTTACGTCACAGGGCACTGGCGGGCACTTCGAATTTCTTTGGCGTGTCAGGGGCCCTTTAAGATGTCAAGGTAAAACAAGTTGAAAAATATTCTATGATCTTCTACCAAAGATATGTAAAAAAATTTAATTAGCACAGACACACCTATCGGTGGTCAGCATATTGCAAGGTCGGTTTACCATTACACGATATGTACAATGCAATAGAATTTGCCAAGCACTATGTAACAGGGCTACTAATATTTTCCAAACTAAGAGCAGCACTAGGTCACAAAAGGTTTCCGAAGAACTATGATGGATACCTTTTTACAGGGTATCTCAGTCATAGGTTATGAATAATCTGACATAATTTGTTGAGTAACATAAATTTACAATTCCAGTACAGGCTAAGGTTGGTTTTTCAGTGCGACACTTGTGTAGGATACTAACCACCTTGAGTCTTACTGCTTCGTCTGTAATGTTTTCACAACTAGATTAGCCAAAGGACTAGAGAAACTTCAATGTTTTGTAAAACTAAGCTTGAGAACCCATTCCTGTTTGTCAGCTTTATGTGTCGGGCTTCGTAACAAAGTGAACCACGAGAAGACGTCAGTTGCCCCTGGCAGCACACATGCTTTAGCGGACGTCCTCAAGATGTCTCAACTTTCTGAAGACATCATGGAGATCTTCACAGACACTTGCACCACCTGGGAATGTTGTCTTGTTTTCTTAGGCATGTGTATACACCTATTTTAGTGCTTATCACCCAGGCAAAAAATGCAGAGTCATAGGGTTGCCAACGCATGCATGGAGTCTGATATTCTGCGAAAAAAATCTACTTTACGTGCTCAAAACGTTCCCCACAGCCCAGTAGACAAGGATGGCATTGCGCTGAAGGTGAATATTGGAATGGTTCGTAAACACCGAGATGTTCATGATGTAACATACCTGAAACCGTGTTCGTTCACAGGCATGCTTCTGGAAGTGCAGCATGGCTTCCAGGACCTTGCGATGTCCCCCTGGCACCAGGCACATGGCACCGAGGATCTCGAGGACTGCAATCTTGGTCTTGATGTTCTCAGTGCTCAAACTCTGGGCGATGGTGTTGATGGCAGTCGGGTGGGCCAGCACATGGGCCCTGCCATTCTGTAGAATTCAAAGTGGGACTTGTAACAAAATAGTATCAAAGTCAAAGTTTATACCACACTCATCAGTGGGTGAATTTCAGAGTGCATAGGGAAATTAAGGCTATCCATAAAAGAATGATTGTTTGGTTAGCATACACCAAATTTATAAACGATTTTCAGCAAACATGTCATTTTTAGCGACAAAATAGACGAGTTCTTTAATTATTCCATGAATGCTTTGCCCGTAATATTTTCTTTTTATCTTTTGGTAACTTTTCTTTGCAAACACTGAAGTGCTGTCACAATTTATACAGAACGTTTGAGTGCCAAATGGCTTCAATTGTTCAATTGTTTTGGTGCTATAATTTTCAGTTCTGAGCACACAATTCTAAACCACATTGTCTTAGAAATGTTTGAAATAGCAAATAAAAGTAATAGCAAGTCTTTTTAGTTTCACTGTATATTTTGGTTCTCCGTCTGCCCGCAGTGCAAGCATGCTTGTACCTTAAGATGTTTGGCTCCTTGGTTGTTAATATTCACAAGAATCTGCATATATGACTTTTGCATTACCAGAAGAGAACACAAAAACAAACTTCCAAGGATGTAGACAAGTGTCTCACTATTGTCATATTTGCAGGCTAAGTGTATGTACCACTAAAATCACAAATTTTTCTCTCTATAACTTCACAGTTCTTTGCATAATTTATTAAGATAACATAGTATATTTCTCTTTCTCTAGGACAGTAAATTCATATGCTGAAAATGGTATTCTAAAGTATCAGCTTTAAATTCATGTTGCAATGGCACACTAAAGTAAACATAAAAATCTAGTTCAACCAGGTGGCACCAGTAAAACTTGCATCTTAACTTTAATTCTTAATAAGGCACATCGTAGTCAATGGGCTCTAGTCAGTTATTCTTAAGAAACTTTTTTTAAAAATGTATTATATCACTTGTACCAGAAGTTGCAAATTAAAATATCAAGCAGGGTTGCCTTTCATAATAGAAGTGCTTTTCAAGATCCTTTGCGATCTCACCGAATTGTTCATGAGAGCTTTGACACAGCCGATGAGGGAGGTGTGGATTGGGCTCTGTGCGGTGTTATAGTCCATTCCACCGAGGAAGTTCAGCAGGCAGGACATACCATCCTGGTCCAAGAATCTGGTCACGAAACTGAAAACCGAGAGAGAATGAACCGGTTTTTTTAGCCAACATAAACTTCAGCACCATGTCACCGGTACATCTCAAATTCTGGTTCAGCAGGCATTTTCAAACATTTACTCATCTTGATAGCAACGTTCGGTACTGAAAACAAAAATGTGGAGAAGCACCACAGGCATATGGTAAACCAGTTGTTTAATAAAATAGATTAATAAGAGCAGGCAATGATTATAGTGGAATCTTTCTATTGTGAAGCCAGATTTTTAAAAAAATGTCTTAATTACATTAGTATTTCACATCCTTGTACTGGTAGTACAAGCATATTACAATGACTATATCAGTCTTAACAAAAAAAAAAATTTAACGCTACTAGTCAATGGGCGACAAGACGCTAATTAGGAAGCTTCTATGAATAGTTGACAATTATGTCTTTTTGTTTACTTTTTTAAATTAAGCTCGCTATATATTTTCACCTGCACTTTATTTTTCTGCACACTCGTTACTCTAATGCTTTTGGACATGGTCACTTTGCTTTCTTTTCTTTGACATGTGCTTGTAATTGAATGTCCTCTGTATTACTTCTGTTACCACCTTAATGGACCCATTTAGTCCATACTGTCTAGACTTGTGCCCGTTACTTAAAAAATGTAATTGATTACAATTACAAATTATCGAGCCTCAAATGTAATGAATTACCGTTACAAATTACTTTTGCTGAAAAATAACAGACTACTTAACTCGTTACGTTACAAATTACTTTCACATTACTTTTCTCATGCAGATATAAATAAAAAAATTAAACATAAAATAGCGTAAAAAGACGGACACAAAGTAAACAGGACAAGCAATATCCTTGTTTACTTCTTGTCTCAGTCTTTTTTTGCGCAATTTTATATGTTTATCTAAGACGACCCAACTAGCCCAGCAACGTACCTTGCCAGGGAATAGAAACAATTTTTATGTTTTCAAAAATGTTCTGCAACACTGCGTTACATTTCTCATACGCCCGTATTATGGTAGTTCTTATAGAAATAAAATATTGTACCTAAGAGAAGAATGTAGGTGCACTCTGTTCACAAGCTGACAAGGCAGCGAAAGCTGCCACCACACTTGCCATCCCATTTGCTTACAGCAACCAGAAATGATCCCAGGTATTCTGCAGACAGCACACAGCTATGGCCGCCAGTAAATACTCCCTATAGTTGCATGCATTACTAAAAAATGTATGAGCGTGAGTGCTCGTTTTTGAGCTTTGGCAGCTTTGTTTGAGCGGATGGTCGCACACTCATATTGCTCCTGTTTCTGTATTGTGTACAATTTTTTTTAAGTAACAAGTAATTACAGTAATTTGTTACCAATATTTTGCAACGAAATTTCATTACAAATAACTACTGCTAAAAAGTAATGTGGCAATTACAACATTACTTGAAAAAATAAAGGATTACCTCCCAAGTCTGATACTGCCCATGACTGTATGAACCTTACACGGAAGTCTACTGCAGATGGCAGCCAAAGCACTTCACTTCACTGAAACTCTAGGGAATAGTGTAACACATATTACTGAACTAGAGTGTGATCCATGAAGCCAAAAGATGAACACCAATGCTCTCAAATGACCTGTTTGGTTGGGTCCGAAGTGCTGTCTTGAGGTTGTCTAAAAGCTTGGCTCGGGTGTTCACTTCTTCCTCCTCCCTGGGAAACAGAAGCTGGAATGAAAAAGTTTCATCAGACCTTCCAGCACCAAACTTTTCAATAACTTTACAGTGTCAGCTGTATTGGGCTTGTACTAAGCGAGTGTCGTGTTTGCAAAAATGAATGTGTTTATCGCAAGTGACTTTGGCGCCAAAAAGGGGTGAGTACCGCTGTTACACTGGCCCTTCAGCTGACAATATTTGCGGTTGAGCAGGTTGAGGTGCAGCGCGTTCGGCCAATCGCGATTACGATGCCGATCATGTGATGGCCCCCCTTGCCACCTGCTCTTTCTCGTCTTCGGCTCCTTCGTTCATTCGGCGCTCTAAGCCTTTGTGCGCAAGAATTGGGCGGCCTAAGCATATAGTGGAGCGGCCAGTGGCTGCTCGACGTCTTAAACGCACCCGTGAGAAAGAACATCGTCAATGTTTAGGCGTCAACGGTGTTACCCTGGGCGTTAGGATGGAGCGCATTCGACGTCAAGATTATGGTGTGCGTGAACGTTACCAAGCAAACAGTGGACATACTGGTGAGACCAAGCAATTTGTGCAGCGCCTCTGCGAAAACTTGTTTGGTGCTACCTGTTCTGTCTATGATCGGTTGTGGTTTACGCGAGACCTGGCATATTTGCCGGTGGCTTACCACGAAGTTCTTCAGTCGTTGTACCTGGACAGTGACCTGACTGCCTCCAAGGTGTGTGCTAAGTGCCTATGCAGCGTCAGCGCGTAGGCGTGTAGCACACACGTTGCAATCCTCGTGCGACGCAAAAAAAGTTGCATCATTGCACGACGCAACGTTACCAAAATGTCCATTCAATCACGACGCAACATCATCGAAATATCGCACCAGCTGACGCTGGTGATTCGTATGACGTCGCGTGATAGTCCACACAATTTTTTGTTACACAAGCTGGAATAACGTTATTAGTGTTGTGCGAATATTTGAATTTTAGAAGACTACCCTATTAGATATCCGCTTAAGGATATGAACTGCGATATTCACACTTTTCAAAGTGTTGATTGCGGCGAATTAGAACCATTGAGTGCGCTTCTCATTCAATGGTCGTGCACTGTGGGGAAGCAATACTCACGAAGTCCACAAGCTTTGCATGTATCGCTTCCCCGCAGTGCACAAGTGCTCACGGAGAAGCCCACTCAACGGGTTAACCTGCCGCGATTATGCAAGACCATGTGTTGTTCGGAGCGGTGTCTTGACAACTCATGTTCATCATTCGTGTTTTTTTTTTTTTTTTTTTTTTTGTCTTTTTTTTGTTAAATTTGAATTTGAAGAAGGAATAGTTGCATGCAGCAAGCAGATTTATAAACCATATCGATTAGGATAGCTATGACAATTATTTCGTTGACATGCCATAGTTTTTAAATATAGCTGTATTAAACTTGGCTGAGCTTAGAAATGGACAATTAGATGTCGGGAACCACCTGCACGAGTTCAGCTGAATTTTCATTTAAGAATTGTGCATGATATTGAAAGGCTTGGCGAAGCTATTTGATATTCGATTAAAAATATTCGGCGAAAATCAGCATTCGCTTCCAATTTGCTTCAAACTCAAAAACCTCTATTCACACATGACTAACCGTTAAGTGTTAATGTTACTGCAATGTTCAAACTGAGCGAATAAAGCTATGTGTTAAATCTGAGCATTACCATAAAGTTAAAGATGGACACACAATGTTAATATGTGTGTTCTATACATTATTATATTCAATAAAAAACTATAAAACATTACAAATAGAATCTTCAAATAATTAACGATAAAATAGTAAAAATGCAGAAAAGCCAGCGGAAGACTTGTCTATTATTAAAACATTGTGAGTGTATGTCCATTCTTTTTTATGCTTGCCTTGTCTCGGGTTGACGTTTAGGGTTGAAATAATGTTGGTGGAACATTATTTGAACCCCATGAACATATGCATGATTTTGAAACTTACCAGAAAATATTTGTGACAAATTTTTTAAATGGTGTAAAAATACTGGTTTTTAAAGGTTGTGCAAAAATAGTAAATTGGTTAGTTTGAACTCTTGTTCAGGTATAGCCTGTAAAGATACAAGAGTACATGGAGGACAATTCTCTTCTGTGAGGTCCCATGGGAGCACTCCTTACCATTGACATGGCATTCACCCGTTCGATGTAGTAGTCTGGGAAATGCGATGACGATGTGTCAGACTGTTCCTGCAAAGTCAATTGAGGATGCCTGTTAGAATGTCTAAAAATAGGGGTATTCACGGGTGCCCATAGCAGAGTCTGGGGTTGCTGAGCGCAAGTAAGCTTTCAATGTTTTTCAACGCGCATTCCACACCATTATGACTACCGTTTTAACAGCCTAAAAGTGTTTAGATCGTTCTAAACACCCGCTGTGAAAAGCACACTCAAATGTCGCGCCCGGTGAGTATGGAGTTGGATAATTAACTATTCATGTTCATAAAACATGTGGAAAGTAATAGTAGTGTTTACAAGAGCTAGTTTTTTTGCAAATAAAAAAAAAAGAAATGTGGCTAGCCTACTTTTTTTCTTTTGGTTGCCTTGAACTGACGTTTTAGTGCGACGCACTGGTGCTTCTCTGCACAGCCTGTGTGCTCCACTGCACACTTTCAATGCACCACTAAGGTGTAGCACGGTGGTTCACCTTATAGGGACAGCAACGTTTTCTAAAAGGTGCCATGAAATTAACTTCGGGCTGGGATAAATGATTTTAGATTGGGACTTTACTAACCGCATATCGTTTAGTGGGCCAAAAGAAAGAGGGTAGAAAGCTAAAAGCCAACTTTTCGGTACAAACTTTTGAAAATATAGCAGACTATTTCGTACCTACTTTCCTTCGAAAGCTCTCCGACTTTTCACTAGGATACATTCGCGGTACCCAAAACACGTCAGCCGACCACAAAACGTGTCAACCGACCCGAGCTCACGCATTGGACACGAGAACTACATCACTGGGATGTATGCGCTCGTCAACAATGCATTCGTAGACAAATGTTTCGATTCGCGTTCGTGGCCAATGAAGTGCCCCGACGGAACTTATCATCACTTGCGAATGACAAGTCCTATGGTGGGCTTAAAAAGCACAGATACGTTAACGTATAAGACATCCAGACATCCGTGTCTCGAATGTGGCGTGCCAGGCTATCTCATTAAATAGACTGATCTCACTAAGCGTTCCACGCATCCGTGACGCTGCCATAACTGTAGTTCATAGGATGCAGACGCCAGTTCACGAGACAGCTCATGCCGCCTGGTGCTCTGCTCGTGCAGAGCTCCAGCAGGGTTGTCGCACGTGCAGAAAGACTACAGCTCCCACGATGCACGGCGGCAGCGGTGGCGTACTTGAACTAGCTGGTGAGATCGGTCTATTGGAAGCCACGCTTAATATGAAGCACAGACGTCACGGTGACTTGTGGTGTAAGCACTAATTACGTAACGTGGCGTAAGAAAACAGGGCTGTGTGAACCAGTCCTCAAAAGCGTACGAAGCCCAGCTTGAGGGCTCACCAACAATAACATCCGTACCTCTAGAGTACAGATACTTTGTGTCCGTTTTGGTGAGTGTCCAAGCGGCACCTCGTCTGGGAATTTGAATACTGATCAGCGTCCCTTTGGAGACTATAAATGTTCTAGGAATAGCAAGCAGATTTAAAACAGTCTGCCCAAATACGGTAGGAACATGAAGCAGAAATTTTTTACCGGCAACCTCCTCGCTATATGCGTTGGATCCCCCGTTTGCAAATCGGCCGATGTCGACTTTGTTCTCTTTTAATCATTCCGAAAGTCGCAAAACGCGGCAAGCGTAAAAACAAAAAAAAAAATCTGAGCGGTTCAAAGGCATATAAGAACAGGATCGAGAATGAAGTCAAAAAGAAACAAAAATAGAAAACGATTGCATACATGACTGCGACTTTTTTCTTCATCTCTTCTTCTTTATTAAATGACAAAAAAAAGAAGAAAAAAAGGAATTGGAGATGTTGGCTGCCGTGAAGGCATGGCAGAGAGAAACGTTCATCGGAAAGTTTCTCTCTGCATTGTGCAAACTGTAGAACATCAATCAAGATGATTTAAATCGCGATTTAAACCACGCCTGTTTTACTCTGATGATTTAAATCATACTTTGCCCGTAAAAATAATTCTGAATATATATATTTTTTTTTTTATTTCACGCTCGTTTAGTATTTTACGTTTTTCAATGGCATTTTTTTTAGCTTTCTTCCTATTATTTGCTTTCTTGGTCAGTTATGTAATGTCCCATCGCAAGCAAATCATAAAGCAAGAGAAAGGTAGAGATTTTGCTCTAGCATGCCAGGATTTACAAAAATTATAAGTTGTAAATTAAACTGCACTTATTTTTAGTAATTATTTTTTTCCGCATTTTTTAGTGATCGAACGTATTAAACAATTAGTCTGATGTGCTTAAAAATGCACCTAGTGATAAGGGATCACTATACTCTGCCTAAAGTAATTTAAATCTAATAACCTAATTTAAATAAAAAGAGTTCATTAAATAAAAGAAATCGGATGTAAATAAAATAAATCTGATTTCAATCAAATGCACCCGCTTTATTAGATTTTTCTATTCTAAACAGTTTATATTTTTGACTCATGGCATTGTGTCAGATTCAACGGTTGACTAATCCAACAAGCGCGTGGTTTCTACCGCCGTGTATGCTTTCGCTTTTTTTTTTTTTTTTTTTTTTTTGCCTGAACATAACGCGGTTATTTCGACTTTTTGACGTGGGACCTTACCATTTTTTTGCTGAGATACAGTTGCCACTTCTTCTCCGATGGAAGGTTGAACATGACCTCCTTCTTTGCCGCCGTGAGATCAAGTTCATCCTGGAGGTGGGGTGCAATGAAAAGTGTTACCTTACAACTTCAAAGGAAGCGCCAAAACGGCCGCCAACAAAGGCTCTTTCGGACACCTTGATTTGCAGAAGATCTATAGCAATGAGGCCTCGTTAGTTCGATAAAAGTTTATGCACGCCCCTTCATGTCTCGGCTGGCCCCAGCCGGCCTTGGAGGTCGCGTTTAATGGAGTCACGGCCACTTACGACCAGTTCGGCGAACTTTGCGTTCAGCTCGGTCTCGTCCGGAAGCGGGTGGGTGGGCGTGAGCAGCGGGGGCGGCGGCAGCGTGACCACGCCGTTCTCGACCACGTGGTAGGTGATCTCGGGAGGCTCGTCGGGGCTGCCGGACCAGCAGGAGCAGAGGCCCCCGCCGCCCGAGGCCCCGCCGACGCCGGCCCGAGTCCCCGCCGAGGCACCCCGGCGTCGCCGCACGGGCATGGCCGGCAGTCCTCCCGGCAACGATAACACCAGTTGCTGTAAGATAAGGAAGAGCCAGATGGTTAACCCCACATTCTCTTTTTAATCGCCAGTCATATTGGGTGAAGAGAGTAAAACAAGTGCTCTATAAAATGGGCCACGTTGACCTATTGTAACTGATAGGATGAAAATGACAGCGAGGTCTTTCAGTTGTCCCGCCTGCAGCGCGAGCTTTGAAAGCATGCAATGTGACGCTGTTTCCCAATCCCAAAATGTTGTCCGTCCGTGCATTTCCCGCTAAATTTAGCGGGGAAAGTGCTGTCACGTGACATCATGCGACATACATTGTGGGGAAATCGATGGCACGTGACATATACGTCGACTCAGTTTCCCCGCTCAATTTAGCGGGAAAATACACGTTTTGTGGCAAAAACATTTTAATTTAGCCAGAAATTGACGTCACTTGAAGTGCACATCAATCCGCTAAATTTAGCGGGAAATTTCAAGTCCGGTGACATACACAGCAATCCAGCTTCCCCACTAAATTTAGCGGAGAAATCGACGTCACGTGACGCATTCAACCATTCAGTTTCCCCGCTAAATTTAGCAAGAACAATATATGTCACCCCCCCCCCCCCCCCCTCCCCTCCTAGCAACGCTTCCTAAATAACCCTGGTTACGTTGCTCCCGGGGTGTTTCACAGCATGTCATGCATAGGGGACATTGAAGGTGAAGGCTGAGCTGCCAATTATTTTATCTTCAGTATAACTTGCACGCGCATCCAAAGCACGGCGGAAGGCAAACCCGAGTCCAGCGCGCACTCTGTCCTCTGCCGTGCTTTGCCTGCGTGCGCACGCTCGAAAGCTCACGAAACGCCGAAGTGCTATATAAGGCAAGAAGCTTGCGCTGGATATGGGATGGCTAAATGACCTCCCTGCCGTTCTAACCCCATCGCTGATTATAGTCTGCTGCAACCTAAGATCTGCAAAAGAACGTATAAATATAAAAGGTTAAAACCGCGAACTGAAACACGTATACGACAAGGACAGGCGCCTGTCCTTGTCGTACGTGTTTCTTGTTTCGTCCGTGGTTCAGTTCGCGCTTTAACCTTTTAAATTGCATGAACCAACTACACCCAACCAAAGTTTTATTGCATAAATATAGCACGCGCTCCTTGGCTTCTGTCGTGCACCTTCTTCTCGCGTGGCCCACCGCGAACCCCCCCCCCCCCCCCCCCCCCCCCTTTGGTGACGCCACTGGCGCTGACACCTCAATCCAAACTTATAATGTTTACTTGAGAAGAAATGCTTGCAATGCGCGAACGGTGCACGCACACGGGTATATCAAACAAAGCCCTTTTTACGTGCACATAAATAAAAGTATATTGGTCCTAGTGAAAAAATGAAAGCCCCTCCCCATTTCCTTTTAATAGTGACGATTACACAAAAAATGTGCTCACGAGCTACGTGAACATGTAAACAAAGCTCCATTCGACCTCTATCTGTTACGCTCAATCTGTCACTGTCATCGCTCGAACTTGTCATTCTACAAATACTGACTGCAGAATCATGGATCTATTAAACATTGCGATAGGTCCTTGCGAAACGATAAATAACTATAAAAAAGGCAAAGATCTAATCAGTTACTGTTCTTATTTTATTTTATTTTTTCATCGGATGGTGACAGACAAACGTAGAACGTCACAACGTAGAGAACTAAACTTCATTACCCACCCTTCAGATTTTTTTACAAAATCGCGCAAACGCCGACCGGCCGCTAGATCAGCGCTTTATCGCGGCGTGAAAGAGCAAAGGGCCGCCCAGACTAGCGAGAAAACGCGCCCGGCGCGCCGATAAATCGGTTAAGCGGGAAGATAAAGGGCGTGTCTCTGCACGCGCTCGTGGCGCTGACTGTGCTTCGGCGCCATTTTGTTACTTGCCGCGATCGGCGTGCCACGCGCGTTTTCTCGCTAGTGTGGGCGGCCCTCAAGTCAGCGAGGCTAGGCGTGTGCCTTCTGCCAGATGCGCGTAGTCTCGCAGACCTGCTGTTTCACGCCGCGATAAGGCGCTGACCTACCGGCCGGTTGGTCGGCGTTCGCGCGATTTTGTTACAAAGATCCGCGAGACTGTACGACAGCTTAGCCTTCGCGTAACGACGAACCGGGTATTTTAAGAAAGGACACCCGATTAAGTAGACTATATCTAGCCTTGGGTCGAATTGTTTTTTCTTGCAGACGTATTGTGTAGAGATGTCCGCGTCCTCTCAGACGCTGAAGCGCGGCAATCAACCTAGCACGAATAGTTCAGATTCCCCAGCGTTCTAACATCTGCCATGCTGTTTCATCTATGGTCACTGACGAGGTGTGAACGGGAAAACGTATCCTTGAAACGGCCGGCCTCCTGCAAGTGCCTGTTAACTAGCTTTGTAAGCTTTGATTGCGCGTACACGATCGAAGTTTACTAAACGCCGAAACGTTATCGAAGCTAGAAGCTAACTCTGGAGGCTGAACGACTGAAACTTCCCCGTGTCGTTCTTATCCTGCCAGTGACTCTGGCCCGGTGTAAAGCCACTAAATCAGCTGCGCTTAGAGTATATCGGCACTCTGTTCCCCGACATTGTTGTGGGCGCCGCCATTTTGGTGCTTGTGCAGAGCAGACGCAACTGTGGATCGTCCTGATTCATAAGTGCGACTTCTTCAGCATTAGATTCACTATTAGGAAGCTCATGTAATATTGTTTGTCTCTATCGCGAACTGTTTAAACTTTTGTTGAGGACGAAAAAACGTTTTCTGCGATTTAAGATAAACCTTCAGATAATTGGCAACCATGATTTTAAACCACAATATAGCGAAGTGTCGTTACTCTGAAGCATAGCTTATTTAGTGGCATGCACTACAGCCCGGTGTACTCTGGTTACGTAGCGCAGTTTAACAGACTATAGTTGTACTCACAGACTCTGGATGCAGTATACCTTGTCCGGTTAGCGATCTACAATCGATGTGAGGTACTAAATACAGGCTACAGCTCAGAAACGTAGATGGTTCGGACTTTACAAACACACGTACTATCGGGTACCAATGAATTGCGAATAGCGAAGCACGAGACCTATTATAGACTGCGCTACATAAAAAAGCTAGGAAATGATAAAACTGCTGGGTGGAAAGGGGCCTGCGAGGTTGTGCACCTACTCTGATGTGCCATACCCTCATAGCCGCTCTCTCCAACCTGCAGTTTTATCAGTTCCTGCAGTTCCCTCGTTGCGCAGCATGTTTCGAAGGCCACGCGCTCCGCTGTTCGCATTTCCGTACCCGATATACTTGACGGTATAGACCTTTGCGAAAATTGCCTTCTGCGCACTGGCATCTTTGTCTGCTGGGCTGTGGAACGCCTTCCGAGCATGCGCTGTAGCTCTGTTGTGCTGTGTATCAGACGCTGCGTATGCGTCCACAGCTCAGTGACTCAGCATCTTTTGCCCGGATGATAAGCGATGCAAAGGTCTACACTGGGGGCCCCCTGAGTTAATCTCACCTCGATCAGTTTTAGCGTTCCCGCGAATTACACACCGCCCCATTTTCAAACGGACTCGACTGGTTGTGACTCGGCAACTTTTTCATTAATGCCGAGACCGAATATGATCACCACAAACAACGCAGCTGTTACGCTCAATCTGTCTGTCGTCGCTCCAACTTGTCATTCTACAAATTTTGTCCGCGCAGAATCATGGAGCTATCAAACATTGCGATTTATTCTTGAGAAAAGATAAACAAAGTATACGAAAGGCGAAGAAACTGCTTACAAAACTTCGTTACGCAGCCGACGCCACGCGCTGATGGTACCAATCAAACAGCCTCAAAAGCGCAAGTCACTGGGCCTTCTTTGTACATGATCGGTTCAGCAAAGATAGAACAGGTACAGAAACATGACGACCATCATATTGGTGTGCTTTTGAAGCTGTTTGATTGGTCCCATATGCTCGTAGCATCCGCTGCGTTCAGACTTAAAATGAAACGAACAATAACCCGTAAGTTACGTAGCTATCTACGATGTTTTCTTTTTCTTCGTAATAACAGCTGCTGGTTCTTTTTTTTTCTGGTAACAATGGTGGACGGGAAGTAGATTTTTTTTAATGAATAGATTTACACAAGGTAAGAAGTGTTTTGTTTCCAAATTCAGGAAAATATTTCTAGTACATTAAATTGAGACGTACGCGTCCACATGTTTAACCAGGGCCTCTAGACTCGTCAAACAGAGTTGAGGCCGAAGTTGACGGAGTGAACCGGTTGGCCTATCTCGACGATGACTTCGCGCTTTTTTCGCCGATGTCCAATCGGCGCGATCCGCGAACTTTCGGCTACAGCTTTGCGTTTGACGAGTTTAGGGCCCCAGGCGTAGCAGGCATCTCGGTATGCCATCAATTATTGCCCAGCGAATGAAGTCCTGGGGAGCATTATCCTAACGCGCAATTGGTATACGCTCCTCTAACACGTGCAACCGACCCAGTTTTATTAAGTGCGTGTGGCAATTTGGGATCGTGTTGGCACGAAGGGTAGCATGTCGGCCGCGAACACCTCTCCATCGTCGCTGCACAAGGACGACAGATATTTCCGTACTTCAAACCAGAAGCTCTCTGGGCGCAATCCAGCAGGGACAGTTTGTCCGCCATTTTTGTCACACGCTCACGGTAGATGCTTTGCTTGTAGAAAATTTTCCTATCAAAGGTGTCATGGTGCAACATCAGGAATATATAGCCGAGCCTCTCGGCGAAACTGTCGTAATACGTACAATAAACTCCTAGCATAGCAACTCCGAAAGTACGGATCTTTGACTTATTACATTTTCCCGGTCCATTGTTCTCAAACTACTCTGCCTCATATATACGAGGGGTGATCAAAACATTCCGGGACTGATTTTGTAGCGTAGAAAGTGAGGGCAGTACAGTGATGCGCGCGCAACAGTCAAAGTAAAGAATCTTCGGGTCTCATTATACCAAAGGGCGTCGCTCTGTGAACATTTGGAGCTGCGCTACAGTTTGCTTGACCACATGCACGAGCA